ACTCTCAAGGCCTGCTGTCATCAGATGCTGCTTCCCTTACAACTTTCTGCTCTGAAGTTGCTCAGGACATATTTTAAGTTACACCTCTGTGTAGCAAAATGATTTTTATTGATCCAGTCTAGCAAACAGGATGTTGTCTTGAAAAGCGTCAGCTCTGTCTGTTCTCATTTCTTGCTGATTTTGGTTACTTCAAGAAGGAAGGAGGGGAGGGACAGAAGGTAGTAGGAGAAGGAGGGGTTTTTTTGAATGCCTTGTGAGAATATTCTTAAAGAGCTGCTGGCTTGACCAAGGGAAACATCTTACTTGAGAAACTCTCAAAAACTAGAAAATATGGACTTCAGAATGGGTTAAAACTTACACAGGGGAAGTTTAAATTGGATATAAGGAGGAAGTTCTTTCCTGTAAGGGTGGTGAGGCACTGGAATGGGTTGCCCAGGGAAGTTGTGAATGCTCCATCCCTGGCAGTGTTCAAGGCCAGGTTGGACAGAGCCTTGGGTGAGATGGTTTAGTGTGAGGTGTCCCTGCCCATGGCAGGGGGGTTGGAACTGGATGATCTTGAGGTCCTTTCCAACCCTAACTATTCTGTGATTCTATGATTTGCTCCTACATGCAATTTTCTCTCACTGATGGACTTCAATACACCTCACACATGACTGTCTCCATATATAGTCCTGCTGCAACACAAGATATTTACTCCAACATCAGTTGGGATGCACACAAACTGGTCCTGAGGCCATCTCAGTGGTCAAACTGATGCTCAGTAAAGACCAGATATAGAGAGTAAGAGACAAAGGAAGGCACCTAGGCTCTGTCCTGCTGCAGGTGCATCAGGCATGGCAGGGGAGGCAAAATTAACATTTGCTAATATATCCTAGAGTGAAGCAAGTCAGCTGCACTGATGTCCTGGAGCAGCCTGGGGTTGTTACCGGTGTTGCTGTCATCCCATGTGGGATGCAGGAGGAGGGTAGTGACAGATGAGCGTTGTGAGCCCAGATGTGTTATTCAGAGCAAGGAGGATGATGCACTGCACAATCTCAAGTCTTTCCCATCTCAGGTGTTGTCTAACACAAGCTAGAAACAGCGCTGAATTCAAGATTAGACTTTCATATCCCCATAGGTGTAGAGTGCAGAGCAGTTTCCACATCGCTGGTGTGCAAAGACAAGCCCTAAAATGTTGGCAGACACCAACTGAAAATAAGCATTTCCCACAACGGACCAGTATGTAACACAAACCGCAAGTGAGAACAAAGTCACAGGCAAGCACTGAACACAGCTCTGTTGCTTAAGGGCTAAGCCTTGCACAGTCTCTACAGGGAACAGGATGGGTTCTGAGTAGCAGCCCAACCTCTGAAAGAGCCGCCAGGCTGATGGCTCCTGAGGTGGGAGCTCTTTTGCCTGCCACTGACATCTGCCCTATAGCTCTGAGGAACTTGGCACCACAAATCTGTGTGAGCCGCAGGACAGAACTACCCCAGTGTTCGCTATTCCACCATGACCCCAGTTTGTTTGTGCTCCTGGCAAAATGCGAATCTACGGAGGAAAAGACCGACCTGCTTTTTGAGCAAATTCTGCTTGAGTGATGATTTGGTCTGCTGTCTTATGTGTACTTCCTAAAGGTGCAGCTTCTGGAATCTTTGTCTCTTGTTAAGAACGTTTGCACTTTAAGGCTTTGTGGACAAATGCTTGTAAATATGTGTTAGCATAGGAAAGCAGAATGGATAGTGAGCCAGCCAACAGGAGGAACTTGAGGAGCTCTCAAGAGATGCAAATGCTTGTATCTGGTGCAACGCAGAGGAATACAAAGTCTCGTAACATGCTGCAGAGAGTCACCCTAGCTAGCACTGGGACCAAAAGCAGTCTAGCCACAGCAGCATGAAACATTTTTGGGATTCATTTAATCCGGTTTAAAGTATAAAGGCACAGCACTACAGAGGAGAGTTAAAATAGGCTAACATAGCCTATTTGCAGCCCTCTTCTAGAGCTAATATATATATGCCTAAGCCCGTAGCAGTGAGTGACAGAGAAATACCACCACCTTTTAGTACATCCCAACATCCCCCTGCTTCTTTCAATGCTCCCCTCCCCACTCCTTGTTTTGCCTCTAACTCTTCTTGTGCCCTCTTCAGCCCAGCACAAGCAGGAGCTGGTCCTGATGCAGCATCCACCAGCGTGAGCTGGGAGAGAGTGAGTTTTCATTTTCAGGATGATGAAGGGCTCAGCTCAGGGGTTTCAGAACATGTGGTTTACATTATGATTTCCAAGAGGTATTTGTACATGCAAACACTACCATCTGCTGTAAGGAATACTTTGCATTTTTAAAAGGTTAATTCCATTCCAAACCTACTGCTTGAATTGGTAGCAGACCCCACTCTCATTTGCTTACTGTATTTAGTGTCACAACACACAGCCAGACTGCAAGCCATGTCTTCACACAGGAAGACTGTTTAGTGCTTACAATTGGCACAGGGTTTCTCCAGATCCTCACTGAAATAACTTTTCTCTTCATTGATGAATAAAAGCTGTTCTAAATTACAGCCTGTTGTTACATTTGGGATCAGACAATGGGCCTCTTGCTGACCTGAGGTGAGTGTTCAGCCTGTAATGAATAATTTGATGCATTTTCTTTCTTTCTCCCTCCCCTTTTGAGATCTGTCTCAAACAGGCTGCAGTTCTCAAAATTCCTGTGGTTTGAAACTCCTTTTAATTGTGTTTTGCTCCCAGCAATTCACCAGGAGAACTCGATACTGAACTGCAAGCTGCTTTGGTTGGGCACGAAAATCTGTGCTATGTCTTACTTTTTTCATCAGATTAGTGCAGGAACCTATGACTGCAAACAAGAAAGCTGTATTTGGGAGCTAACAATCTGGGTGATCATCCCTGCTAGTAAGCTAAATGAACAGAAGAGTTAAGAACTGTGAACTAAGAAAAGGAAGAAATCATCTGGTTTTGTTTTTCTCAGTGTGTTGTAGGGGTTTTACTTTCAGCCACGCTGAAGAGTTCGGCCATTTACCCAAACCTCTACCAGCAGAGGGATTTGGACAGAAATGGCCTGTTTCAGTTTCAATGGTTTTTCAGTTCCACCAAATTACCAAGCATGTAGATTTTTATCAGTCTGGTACTCTATTATATTTTATTGGATTGAGACCCCCCCCCCCAGAATACAAATCCTTAAACTCCGGAGAACACAGAATTAAAGTTCCACACGTAAGGTCTGATTACGCAGATGACTCTCATCATTGCTGTCAGACCAAGTCCTCCCAGCAGTCCAGAGCTTTTATTTTACCCAGTTTGACACATATGCCCGCCTGCAGTGCCTTGTTTTCCTTGTTTCTCCCAAAGGAGAGAATAAGTTTTGGCTTTATAGTATCAGTTCAGATTTTACCAGAGATGTCCTGGCATTTCCTCTCCCTGCAGTCCACAACTTTGTGCTCTGAAGCACAAAGACAAGTAGGTTTGCCTTTGCAGTGTGCTGTATGTGGTACAGGAGAGCAGCATATCATTTTCATTCTATTGATAGAATAAGAGCAATCCACTACTGCAGCATCAATGGACACCATTGACATAGTGTTTTCTATAAGGGGAGGTAGTCACTTCATAGAAAGCCTCTTTAGGGCAGATTTAGATTCATGTCAGTTGTCATGAAACATGATGACAAATGTAAGAAATTCAAGACAGCTTGTGCTTTCAGACATGTCTTTTGGACAAGCAGGTCAGCAATTAATGCAAAACCATTATGACTTTCAGTGCATGTGAGATGTTTGTGGTTGGTATCTCTAACCACACTGCAGCTGGAACAGGCTGAGACTTCCAAGAGTGTCAGCCTGGACAGGAAAACAATCTGCAGCATGCCCCATTGGACAGGGCGAAGACATCTGCCCTGCCCGCTCAAGCATGAAGCTGGCTAACCTAAAAGAACAGGGTGAAATCCTGAGCCCACTGAAGTTAATGGGCCATTGATTTAAATGGGCTCAGGCCTTTACTTCTTAAGTCATGCTCATGCACAGTTTTAATTCATATTCCCTGACTTAATGCTGTTTCTAGCTACCATGCCCTTGATTAGAAACAACCATGTAAAGCTAAGAGCTATCACAGATGAACTGTGACCCCAGAAACAGCAGGAGAGTGAAGGGTCCAGGACCAGCACTGTGCTTCTAGAAATTGGCAAAGGGAACCCAGAGACCTGACCCCAAAAGCGTACCCATTAACAAAAGGTAGGAGTAGCAAATATCCCTAGAAAAGCCTCATCTTTCCCAGGGGCACAGTGTGGTCTTCAACATTTGTGGTAGAGATCCATACTGACAGTTCTGTTTGTTTCCTTTTTAACCTCTGAGTATTTAGAAGAATGATCTTACCTGGAGATTGCTGACCAGATCCTGACCAGAATTATAAGCCTGAAAGCCCAGAGATGTCAATCTGCAGGATTCTTTGACGTTGTCCTGTTAGTCCAAAGTCCTGAGAACAGCAGGAAATCTAACAGCAAGAGGCAATACCTGTGCTCCCAGCCCTTCTTTCAGTGGTAAGTGCTGCCCTCCAAGCTTACTTCAAGCCTTGCCCACTCTGAAGCTTCCTGCTGTCCCCTCTCTAAACTTCTACCTTCTACGGCTGTGCAACTCAGTGGTCCAAGCCGCCCCAGACTGAAGCCAGCAAAGCCTCCCCTGCCCACACACAACCTGCATGTCCCCTTCACTGGGCAGCACAGTGCATCTCTTCAAGCTCTCTGGTCACATATGAACATAAATGTTTGTCAGAAGTGTTAAATTTTGCAACAATTCCAACCAAAGCACAGTGGTGGGAAGAAGATTCCTGCTCTCTTCTGCACCTGCTCTGCTGGGTCACTTTGATCTGACCACTGCTGTCCAGACACTAGGCTTTTTGCAAGACTTGGTTGGAAGCTGTATTAGCAAAGCTCACAGTCTGAACCTGTTTCTGCTGTAGATCTATTTCCCTTTGTAACAATGGTCAGAGCTAACTGTGTCTTCAAAGAAGATATGGGAAGAAGGTGTGGAATCTGATCTATGGTTTTGCAGGAGGAGCAGGAGTCAGCACAGCCAAGCAGCTCCAGGAGGTCCCACTCCGCCTTTCCAGACTGTTGTGGGACTCCAGGCACCCTACCAACACCATGCACGCTGTGGGCCTGCAGCCCTTAACTCTGGATGCTCCTAAAAGGGTAAGTGAATCACTTGAAAATATTCCATTTATACACAAAGCAAGAAAGACACTTTAAAAACTCCACTTAAAAAGCCTTCCACTTAAAAAACTCCCCTCCTCAGCTCTTCTGCATCCATCTCAGAGCAGTGCCGGCCCAAGGGGAGGGTCCAGCACCGTATCCTGTTTCCCTCAGGAGATAAAGTGTGTTTTATACAAGATCTATGTGCAGCAGAGAATTTTACTTTATATCAGAGATCAGTTTCTGGTTGCTTTTCTAGAGAAGGACCATTACAGTCTATCTGTACAGTTCCTGTAATAGAAAACACTACTTTCTTCAGCAATACTGTGAGAGAAGGCAGGTGAAGCTGAAGGAAAATCCCCTAAGCTTCCTCTCTGTGCCCAATTTCCTGGCTGGTTTTAGGGACAGGTAGTTTTTGCTAATGAGACTTTCCATTATAAAGTTTCCATTGCTTTGGAAAATATTAACTTTGCTGAGTAGATCAAACAGCTCCTGCAGTTACAGTTAGAATATCCTAAAGATTTAGTTCCCAGTAATAACAGGGCTAAACCACAGCACCGCCAGAGGCAAAAACTATATTATTTGAAATGAAACTTCTCATAAATATCCAGCTATGAAGTCATTTTATATCAGCTGCTCTTATATAAACTGGACAAGGCAAACTGTCCTATCCATCAACATTAAAGTTGCCAAGAAAAATTACTCTATATTCATTGTCTGCAAGTTTCCCAGATCTCCCTCCCTCTCTCTTAGGCTTTTCCAGGGAACACTGGGGTTTGCTCTGTTTAAGAACTTTGCTGATACGTGCAACTCATAACAGCATCAGTGTCATCTTCAGGCTTAAGCCTACTCTTGTCACCACTCCTCTGCTGCAAAATGGATGGACAGATACACACAAACACACCTGACTCTTTAGCCACAGGCCAGAGCTAACATTACTTTTCAGTCTTTGCTAAGTGGAAGCACCTCAAAACACTGGCAGAGCTAGAACTATGCTGGTTTGGGGTTGGTTGGTTGGGTTTTTTCTTCCAGCCCCTCTCCAGATGCTTAGAGCACGTTTGTTGCAGGTCTGTAATAAGGACCAGGCCAGCCTTCAAACATACTGCTGAAAGTTGCACCCAGGAAGGCTTGAGCATAGCAAGAGGCACACATGGGCTCTCTCACACTCACACCATCCACCCCTTGGTGGCATGGGTGAGTGTCACCCACAACCCCAGGACAGGCTGGGGATCTCAGGGCCTTACCTATATGTTCCAGCCCTTTCTGCTCTGTTAAATTGAAGAGGCTGCTGCACTAGAACACGACACCTGAAAATGAGACCTGTGGTCTGTGCAGAACATGGGGATGCATTAGTGCTCTCTAAGGCAGAAAGGGGACAAACCTTCATGCCCCTCCTCCCTCGAGAGGAAGGAGAATGATGCTGGCTACTGCTCCTATATTGCACTTGTGATTAAAGTGCATACAGAAAGGTTCAAATGAGCAGCTAAGGTTTCACAGGCTGGAAATGTGGTCAAGACACAGGTGGGAAATGCCCCCATGACACCTTCTGTGCAAGTCTCTCCATAGTAAGTCTCACTTCTCAAAAGAATAGCTTCAGAGAAATGTCTGATTACCTACTGCTGATTCCCTAAATGTTTCTAGTATTATCCTCCTATTATGGAACAGGAGGCTTGAGTGTTTCTGGATAAAACTACAAAACTTTCAGAAACTGGGTCTACTTAAAGGATAGCAGAGACCTGAAGGAGGCTTGAAGTGAACCCTTCAAATATTTGAGCCCTTGGAAGGAAACACCAGCTTGTGAAAAGTGATTTCCAGACTTACTTGAGTAAAAAGGAATCAGCAAGTGTATATTAAATAAAACCCAAGCATTTAGTACTAGAACAGCGCTAGCCTTGCAAGTTAAAATTTGAGCGCCTACAGTCACCAAGAGCGATGCTGGACTGTGACACAGGAGGAATCTATAGTCAGTCACTGCTGGAGACAGATCCAGGCTGAGTCACCAGAAGCCTCGCCAAAGCCTTACATGAGAACAGTCAACTTGCAGGAGACACATTAAATTTCCCTTCTTCCCCCCCCCCCGCTCCTTTAGTAAATTACATGTAAAACCATAAAAAAGGGTTAATGATCCTACATTTTCACTTTAGAAAGAAAATAATTAAAATATATTATTAAAATATGCAAAATTTATAATTTAATTATACAATTACAGAGCCTTCTAGTCTAACAGCCCCACTGTATTTTGCGTATCAGTGATCAATTGCTTTCTTAAAGCTCACAGCAGAATCATTTACTTGATGCTGGAGAATAAGTTAATTACGAATCTCCTGCCTTTGAATAATGGATTTAATAATCATGTTACAGTAGAATTAACTTATACGTCACGCGCTTGCAGCACTAATGATGAGGGTCATGAAAGCAATGTGTCAGCAAATAGGATGGGCACCAGCAAAGGCACAGTATGTATATGCCAGGACACCCCATGCCTGCATTGCTGCTGGTCAGCAGTTCGGTTAAGAACCTGCAAGTGGCATCCAACCATTTTTGCATCATCTCTCATTAAGCTCCATCATTTGTCACTTACTTCTCCAGAATCAAATACTGTTTTCAGGGGAGCTGAGCACTTCAAATGAAGCTCAATTCTGGATACTGTGTGGACAATGTTATCCTAGGAGATTGGTTCAGTATCAGGTAATGCACATACCCAGCAGGCACAGCCACCTGTAGTCTGTGATTGCCCAGTATAACAGACCAAACATTAACTTTCTTTAATGCATCCTTTGTGCACGTAATACAACTATAAAGTTTCTTGGATGGAAACATGTTGAGTCAGAAAAGATTTGCTCTCTCTAAAGGGACCTCAAGAATAGGTACTCAAGACACAGAGCACTGTAGTTTCCAACCTTTACCTGTTCAAGGAGAGGCACCATTGCAGGACAGAGAAGGTAGAAGGGACATCTCAAAGTTTTTTGTGGTCTGCCATTATTCCTCACAGGGCTCCTGTGTGTGTCTGTGTAAGAACCACATCTGCAAGTCTGGCAGGAGCCAGATTCAGAAGCCTTCACTTAAATCTCATACTGACACAAATAAGAACAGAATGAAGAGCTGAACCACATTTTGTCTGAAAGAGCAGTACCTCAGGAATCACTAGCAATGGGATTTCAAATTGCATCAGCCAGGTACCTTACTTATTACCATGCAAAGTAAAGTAATGCAATACAAGTCAGCAGCTTAGCATAACACTGGGCCCCAAGAAGGAGGCAGGAAATGAACAGGAATACAATTTCCTTAACAATTCACTTACAGGAATTATTCTGCAAAACACTACCCATGTCCTGGTGAAAGATGCAGTCTGAGGGTACAAAAGTGCTGGACCATATTGCCATGTCCCCACCACTGCCCATCACCCAACTTAGGTACCAGTTCTTTCACAGGATGGTGACAGAACTCTTTGTGCTGATCATGCCATATGGAAATATCCAGAAAAAGCCAAAGAAATTGCTGCATGACCAATACCCTGCCTGCTAAGACTGAAGGCATACTGATGCTATTCAACCCGCCTGTTAGAGAAATTATTCACCAAAATGTTATTTCACAGGTGAAGGTAAAAAGCTCCCCTCATGCACTGCACCCCGTCTTTGAGGTGTGGTGGAGGTTTCATCTGCACTGCTCCTCAGCTCTCCAGGCAGCTTTTGGGGCATGGTGTGTGAAAAGCAGACAGTGCTTTGGTGCCCGTCTTGCAGCTCAACCACTGATGCTAATATTACCACTGCTGCTTGTGTATGGTTCTGGGAGATATTTAGGGTTAAGATAATTCAAGATCTGTGATTCCTGCCAAACCCACCAAAGCATGCTTCAGGTGTTAGAGGCATACAGCAATAATGTGTGTTTTAGTACTGAACCAGACAGGACTATGCCCTTAGATCTGTGGCTTTAAACCCAGCAGCTCATCCTGCTCTATTTCATTGCTCCCACTTTATCCCCTTGCTCTGACCCTGCCACACATCCATCCGGTGTGGAGAAGTACAGCAATGCTCTTCTCAGCTTGTCACAGACTGGCTTGCTAATTTTAGCTAGCTATCAGCCATTTCTCCATGTCATACCACAGGGCATTAACCTCTCCCCACCCCAATTTGTTCCAGGTGAGTTCAGGAATCAGTAGCCAAATATCCTCTAGCTGCAGACTGCCTACTAAAGGGCAGCTGTTCAGATGAGACCACTGGCATAATTTAGAGGCTGAACCCACCAGGAACTCATATTACATTAGTCAGGTAAGTGCCAGAAATGCTTTCTAGGATTTTTATGATGGGTTTCCTCAGGACACAGAAGGTACTTCCTTGTATACTTCTGGTTTACAACCCTCAGATCACAATTCCTAGAAGACAACAGGCAAAACTCAGCCTTATAGGGGCAGTGGCATCCTGCAGCCTCCCCCTTGCTTTGGCTCCACTTTGCACACATGGTTTCACCACTATGGTTGTTTTTTACTTTATATGAGCCTTAACCTTTTCCTATAGATATTCATCCCCCACAACTGTAGTAACAGGACAAGGGGTAAGGGGTTAAAACTTAAAAAGGGGAAGTTTAGACTGGATATAAGGAAGAAGTTCTTTACTGTTAGGGTGGTGAGGCACTGGAATGGGTTGCCCAGGGAAGCTGTGAATGCTCCATCCCTGACAGAGTTTAAGTCCAGGCTGGACAGAGACTTAGGTGACATGGTTTAGTGTGAGGTGTCCCTGCCCATGGCAGGGGGGTTGGAACTGGATGATCTTAAGGTCCTTTGCAACCCAAACCATTCCTTGATTCTATAAAACAGACAGTGATGAGTAAACACTATAATGCAAAACTAAACATCCAATTAGAATTTGGTGAGGAAGTGTGAAATGTAACATATTCACCAGAATAAGAAAGTGGGACAAAAAAAAATCAATTTCCCATTAAATTCTGTGGTTACTTCTTTTTTTTCTAACTCTCAATGTTAAAAGCATCCGTTACACACATAATTTACTCCTTTGCAGTCTGATTCTGTGTTTAAAGCAAGAACATGCACTACGAAATATGAATTAGCCCAGCTATCACACAGTGATAAGCAGTGCCCTATAGGTCTCTTCAAGCTGGCCTTGAGAAGTGTTCCACCCATGCAGGCCAGGGGGAAATTGCATTATATGCAGTAGTCTGGGAGAAAGAACTGATTTGGAAGCAGCCTGCTACTTCACTCCAAGCAAGAGGTGATCTCAACTGGTGCAAAAGGCATGAAGCTGAACTTCTGCATATCCATGGAAAAGCCATGGACAAGCCATGGATCTGTCTGGGATGGAAGGTAAACTTCCCTCCCAAAAGATTTCCCTCTGTGGATGTGTCCATAGGATGTAAGGCTGGTGCAACAAAATGCATCCTTCATTGAGCTTTTGTAAGGAGCTAAGCACCGTGAATCTTCCCTTGTGGAAGATTTCAGGACAAGCAGGCACAAGCACGATTTCTCTTTCATCTTATTAATAGTGTCTTAGTCTTACGTGTGTATCTTGAAAATGTGATGTACGCAGAGTTATTTTAAGCTACCACACAGAGATGTTCCATTTGTAGGGAGTGGTCATCTTTGACACATGACATTGGCCCATATTTGCAGGTCTCCAAGTCCACTATGCATCACTTTTACCTCCAAGGCAGCAAGATGCATCTCTGCTTAGCTGTACCTGAACACTGGAAACAGCAGCCGATGGTCTACAGAGTAGAACTCTTGTTGGCAGTGAAAGGGAGGGGAGTTTACAAAGAAAAGTGCAACACCTGGTGAGAAATGACCCTGCAAATGCATCTCCCTGAACCGGTAGAAATTTATGCACAGAAAAAGGGGGGGGGAAGATCTCAGAGTTACCTCTTTCATCCTCCTTCCTAATTCACAGCGTAAGCACGTCTTAGGAAATGAAGGCAGAAAAGTGCTCTGAAAAGATGAGTGATGTGTCTAATTCTCCAGCAAACCCCCCTTCTGAGGTGCCCGAAGATGCTGCAGCAGCTGGCTCACCCTTTATCTATGTTCTAAACCTTTTGCACTTAGTTCTTAGAGCCAAGTGTGGACCACGTTACTCTGGGTTGCAAACCAGACACCCATAAACACTGAAAAGAAACTAAATGTAGAGAGAATGATGGATTCTGCCATGGGTCTGATCATCTCTCATCTTAAATCCAAGAGTTTAAAGTCAATTCCAGCTGTCTTGGATTGTCCCTTGCTTATAAAGAGCCTGTAAGTAAATTGTTAATTCAGAAACCCCAGCTGTGATCATTAATGGATGAAATCTGGTGTTAAACCTTGCTCCGTTCTCAAAAACATAGGGTCTTATCAAGGCTACAGCTATCTTTGGTCCTACTGTGTGCATCTTTTTCTGACTTTTTCAGCTGAGAGGGGACAAGCTCATAGCAGTTCATTTCTTCATTTTACACTAATTTACCCCGTTCCCCTTTCTACAATAGCTGCAATATAGCTGCTGGTTCAATAGAGCAATGTTTTGCAAATTTGGCTCAAGGAGACACTGAGCAAACAGCTTTTCAGAGAGCTTCAACTCAGCTGTCAGAAGGGGCAGTTTGGTTTCTGTGCAAGCAATAGTCACATTCCAAACTGCATTAGAGAAAAGCCGGTGGGTTTGCATGCATTTTTGTTACCAGTTCAGACTAGGAATCTGATGCTAATTTCTTCTTAGAGCCTGTGTTTGCAGTAGAATTTGTATTCTAAAACAAAAGGATTGTACTGTTTTTCTCTCACTAGCTTGCTCTCTTTTTCCTTTTTCTTTTTTTTTTTTCTGCCCCTGGCTTTACTCCAAGGATCTTTTCTGCTCGATCGTTACATTCTGAAGATGAAGCACCCAATGGTTACAGCAGTGCTGGTAGTGCTGGTGCAGGTTTCTCAGAGTTTCCCTGCTTTGTACCACCGAGGCTGGTGGAGACTGTTAAGGGAAGCAGATAGTTGTGGAAAATGCAATTTGGCACTTTGCTCTGAGCCTAAAGACTGTCCAGCTGGGACTGTATTGGACCGTTGCGGCTGCTGTCCTGAGTGTGGGAATGTGGAAGGTCAGATCTGCGACCTGGACCAGGGCAATCATTTTTATGGGCAATGTGGGGACAACCTCGAGTGCAGGTTGGATGCTGATGAAGCAAGGTTTGGGGAAGTCCCTGAACCTCAGTGTGTGTGCAAGTCTCAAGAAAGCATCTGTGGACCTGAAGGGAAAACCTACGAGAACATATGTCAATTCAACAAGGCTTATGCTACAAAAAGAAATATCAGCATGAAACACAAAGGGCCATGTGAATCAGGTAATACGTACAGAGGCACTTCTAAACCGAAAAATGATCTTGTTCTTATTTTCAAACATGTAATAGATGCTCTAGTCTAACTTTCTTAAACTAATTCTGCTTTTTTCTTATCATTGTTTTGTTATAATACTACTTTGTGTTAGGCATTTACTTTGTGGTTCAGCAGCTGGTAATTTTGTATGTTACTAGACTCTGTATTAGACTAGTGGATTAAATCACATGGTGACTACTAAGCCACAGATCTGCAGACTAGTTCTGCTCTGAATAAGCAGAATATGAGGTATTTTCTACAAGAATGTGTAGTTGGGAAGAGGTAAGCTTGCAGGATAGTCTGGGAGGACTGGACAAATAACTATATGAGGACTGACCTTATATTGAAGTGGTGAGAGCAAGGCATACCTTATTCATATATATATATATATATATATATATATATATACATACACATACATGTACATGTATGTATGTGTTTATATATATATGTGTATGCAGAGTGTATCCACCTGTGTGTATATATGATTAGCAGTGTAGAGACAATAGAAGATGAGGCTTAATTAACAGGTCTTTTGCTCTTGCAAAGAAGTCCAAGATAACAGAGTTTTGGAATCATTGTAAAATCTAGCTAACCCATGAAACAGAAATCTAAATATTAGAACAAAATCAAACTGAAACTATTTCCCTAAATACATGCACAGAGCATGAACAGCTGTCTGTGATGATTTTTAGTGGAAGGATTCTTAGCAGGGTTGTACTGGGGAATCCTGTCTCTTGCTCATAAACTGTTCTTGTTCTTCACATTATTACAAGTCTTTACTCCTGAGTACCTTTCACCTAAGTCACATGAATATAAAATGAAAAAGTGAACAGGCTTTTGTTTTCTGAATGAGAAATTATTCTTTTTTAACAAGTTAATGGGATATTTTCTGAAATCATAGAATCATAGAATAGACATGACATAGAAATGAAGTAGGAGAGGTCTCAGTTATGGGAATCTAAAATTGGGTCACAAATGGGTCACAGTTATGGGAATCTAAAATTGCATTTCTGGCAAAGGTCCACATATGAGAGCAAGTTGGGTATGTTTTACCCACTCCTCACTAGCTATCTGTTGCCTCCAATTTAGACTGTATGCTGTGTTTTGATATTGAATGAACACTGGATATTGAATGCTTAAAAGGAAAAGTGATGAACAGCTAATACCAGATTTCTTTCCTCTTTCTCATGTTGCAAGAGGACAATACAATAAAGAATCAGGAATCAATACAATAAAGAATTTGACATTAGGATATTAAGTTGGGAAATGAGGCTTGTCAGTAAAGAGACATTCAGAAAACCCAATGCATACCAGCCCACAATATGACTGAAAGCCTGTTAGCTCTCTCACAGGTGTTCTTCTTCGGGGTTAGACCAACACTAGTTCTTGTGGTATAACCCTTTCAGGCAGATTTCACTTAGAAGGGCCGCTCTACAGCAAGTAATGGTAACTCTGCAGCAGAGGCAGCTGTTCAGGCTTACAGGCTTAAAGCAATGCTCTGCTTTAATTAATTAAAGAGAACTGCCCATGTATAAAAATCTTTAATTTGGAAGTACTGCCAGTTTTAATTGCTGATGTTGTCATCCACCGGGCCTTGCAGTCACCCCTGAGGTGAATAACACTGCATGTAGAGCTGCTTTGCATGCAGGAATCACTCCCAAGGCTTTCCCACTGCCTCCCTGGCTTCCCAGAAAGGCTGGACTCTCTCACCAGGAATGCAGAGAAATTTCCTAGGTTGGCTCATCTTACTGAACTGCTCAGAAGCCTGGTTGGAAGTTCATAGCCATGTCAGTGCTGTGCAGAGTTCAGTTAAAGAAAAATGGGGGCTCGTCTCTTTGGCTCCTGCCAAGGTCAGTGTCTGTGCCCTGCTGCAGCAGAGCGCTGAGGTGACTGCTGGGCTCGCCGGGGAAAGGAGGGGATAAGCACAACTGTTAACTTCTCTGAGCAGCAGCTGATCAGCAGCAGCTGATCAAAGCAGCAGATTCTCTTTTAGACCCTGCAAGAAGTCTGGGTCTTTTAGCAAGCAGCACGATATACAGGGGCTACCACGGGGCTCCTCTGAGAGTCTACCAGTAAGTCCCCTCTTTGGCAAGGCAGCTGTCTGAAGCAGCACAGTAGGCATGTGAAGGTGCTCCCTGATTTAGGCTGCTTTTTCACGCCTGCAACTGATGACAAAAGGCAACAGGGAGTCTGGCTCCAAGAGCAGCAGCCTCGCTGCGGCACTCGCTTTCCGCTGACTCCAATTTGCATGAGAAACAAACACTGAACACTGGGGGGTTTCGGTACCAAGCTATAAATACAACCTTCACTCAACTCAAAGAACTTTGTTTTGTTATTTCTCCTTCAAAGCATCTGCTGTTTCCTATTGATGCCAAATGGATTAATTGTATGCAGCAAGCAATGAATAAATAGATAACAACAAACTCCTTTCATCACAAGAGTATAGCCTTTTCTCTTCAGTGCATCACCAGAAAACGGAGAAGAAGAAGGCCCAGCTCCCCAAAACAACAGTGGAAAAGCCTTTCTTTTCCTGAAAGCTAATTTTGATCAGTTTATCTAATAATTTACCAAGGCTACCAAGTACATTAATTATATGTAGATTCTCCACACTTAATTCATCCCCATTCACATTCAAACCTCTCTTGCTGATGATTTAATGATGTAACAGAACAATCTAGAAGTGATTCTCTGTATTTAGCTATGTCACATAGATTATTTTAAATGTAAATTTTGGATTAAAAAACAAATAAGCCATGGAATTTTCTGCCATTTTCATCAAATCAGACCTAGATTAGAAAAAATTAGTTAAGGCAAAAATAAATATCTAATTCATCAGTTTGGGGTAATACTGGGTTAATGTTGTTTGTGAAAGGTGAAGCAGTATTTTGACATTTTCTGGCTTCTGGTCTATTTCTTCTATAATACATGAGGATAATTCACAATGGGGACTGTAAAAGGAAAGGAGCAACTACTGCACATATACTCCAGGAATCAAAATGACATGTTATTATAACAGTAAAGATCTGTTTCTAAAGACACAGTTATGCAAAAAAAGTGCACACAGATACACATGGCAGAATTTAGCTGAACACAAAATCTGAACCACACAAACCCAAAGTTTGGGAATTTGTGTTAAAGTGATATCTTGTTACTTCAATTTTCTTCTGTAAAATAGAACAAAATGGTGGCTTGAGATGTATATTATTTTATTTCTGGATGCACTTCAAATTTGAGTCTGTAATGCAGGTATTTATTGAACGTTCAGATTCAGAAAAGGCAGTTTGGTTATTCCTACTTGCTATGAGTTTGAACTCACATGTTGCCAGTCCTGGTCAGCCACACTCCAGCAAAGCCTTAACTACCCCTATAGAAGTGCCCAGCTGTGTGGAACTGAGCATACTACCTCAGCATTCCAAGCTGTCACAGTATTCTCCTTACAGTTAATGGAAGATGTATTTCCAGTGTGGAATTCATCTTCATGTATGGTAGACAGTGCTGGATAAATTCCTCCTAGTGGAAAAGCTATAATGAATCTGTAATTGAGACCCTTAATTCTCTAGGCTAAGGGTACATTTACACTGCATGGTAAAGCCAGAGCTCTCACCCTTGCAGAGCTGAGCTATGTCTGTGGACACTCCCGTAAGTAGGACAGATCTTGGCAACACTTCAGTGTTGTTGGTGTATGCACAAGACACTTGTGTTAGCACCACAACAAAACCACCAGTCAGGCAGCATCTGTCTATTTAAAGAGGTTTTCCTGCTGTCCCTCTACAGCAGTAATTTAAAGAACTCATGTGAGTCAACACAGACATTTGGTTTCTATTTTACACTTAACTTTAAGCTTAACTACAACACACATATGACTAAAAGAAACATGGCTGCTTTGAGTTTTAATATTTCAAATTATATTTTAATATCAGACCATATGTGGTAAGTTCATAGGTAAAAAATTCTCAACCAAAATATTCAGTTAATGCTGATCTGAAGACAAGATTTTTGAAACAATATACAGTTCTCATGAAAGAATGAGCACTTAAGGGTTTAAGTATCCTAGCCTGAGAGCCTTACTTTACTTTTCCTGTTTAATGTGTCATTCATCAATGGGGAATTATTTTGCTGTATAATTTGTTTGCAATCAATTTTACTCAGGATGCATCTGACATTTTCTGCAGATATAAATTCTGAAAAACTGACAAATGCATTAGAAACTTTGCTCAAATACCTGGAATAGGCTGTTGCTATTTCAAATGGTGAACCATAAATGCTGTACATACTGATTCAAATCTTGCAAGTAAAAATATATTTACCATAAATTTCTACTTCCAAGCATCTGGGATCTGTACAAAAATCAAAGCAATAATTAAACACAAATCTAATGGCCCAGAAAACATATAAATTTTTAAACACTGGTATGGAGATAGAAAGAAAAGAGACTTTAGAAGGAAAAACACTTCTTGCTGAGGACGAATAGGTCAGCAAAAAAAAAAAGCAGAGATCTCCAAAACAGGAGAGGTGTGATAACAGTAACTGTTATTTTTCTCTCTTCTCCTCAATATCATAGTCTCCTGTTAACATTTAGTATATTCACACATGCTTACAGAGGGATGTGTAAATGATGTATGAATGCATCAGGTGATAGTTTATTTTTCCTGTCTTCAAATCCCTGGACTGGCTCCCTCTCGTGGTTAACGTCAGCTTTTTCTTTCGGAAAAAGGATCATACAGAGGCAAAAACCAAATCGGTGGAGGGGGTGAGGGTAAGAGAACAGGAAACAAGTAAGTGGAAATCTAATTATTGTAATAAACATAACATAAAACCTTACAAAATAAACGGATTTCAATCCCTTTTATTCCTTGTCTCATAACAAGAACATCAGATGAAACCGATAGCAATTCTGGATAAATGTGGAATATATTTAATGCTGTTATTCTGTAACTTGTTGCAATGAGTCCCATGGGTAACAGAGGGGGACAAGATCTTAGCAAGCTCAAAGCAACGATGTAGTCAGTAAACACAGTCTGACAAACTAGCAATTGCACTATTTTCACTTTTAAGATAGCCAAAATGTAACAGAAATTCACAAGAATTATGTACAATGAAGTTACTCTGTGATGTCTGCTACAGAATTTCTTCGGCTTTCTTCTGAAGGTCTTGCTGAGTACTGGCTGCTTGACTGTGGAGCCTTGAGTCTAGTCCATGGTAACAGTTCACGGGACATAAATGAAACTTTTGATTTCTGCTTAAGTTTCACGATCATGTGCAAGGGGAAGGACAGACAGGTCCTTTGAGGGAGAGTTGTTGAAAACTCTGTTCACCTTTTAAGGGGACACAGGTATTCTGAGCTTTAAAAGCTGCTTGGAATCATGTGGCTCTTCATAAAGTGTGAGATGGCAAAAGGTAAACTGGTTTTATAACGTAAAGTAGGAATTAATGTTTGTATGCTTTTGTGTTTGTGTTGTCCTTTGCTCACTGTCTCCTAAAGCACTGTGCTGTTGGTTCCTTGCAGCTCCTGTTATTTCTATGCCACCTCAGGATGCCCAGAACTACACAGGAAATGATGTCATTTTCGGCTGTGAGGTGTCAGCCTATCCTATGCCACATCTTGAGTGGAAAAAAAAGGGGAATAAAATGTTCCTGCCAGGAGATGATACCCACCTCTCTGTACAGGTAAAACCTGACTTCTCCAGGTCATATGGTTTCGGACGAAGGAGTAGGGGGATGAGTGAATTCCTCCTGCAGAATACAGTAGTGCGGTAATGAACAGATTCGCAGTAGAGGTCCTGTGACTATGTAAAGAATTATGATTTCAGTCAATGCAAGGATCACTGCTTTAGCAGTCTAAGCAAAAGAAACAACAGACAGGGTCCTTCCTGATGAAGATTGTCCTGATGTAGGTATGACTCTGGAAAAACTGACTGAACATACAAAGGGAACCATTTAGGCTACTACCTAAAAGAAGGTGGGTGCATTCTGGAAAGGGTGGCAATAATTTTTCTACTCTTAATGCAGAAGCACAATTCTGCATAATTCTGCATAGTATCTAAACTCCTTTGCAAGATGCTGTTTCTGGGACCTGCCATTTCAGTTCAGTCCCTGAGACATTCAAAAAGAAAGCAAAAAAATTTGCTCATTTTATGGAGGATACTGTGTTTTAATCTAAGGGGAAAGAGTGGAATGACATTAGTACAGGCTTCAAGCAAACCTAGAAATAGCCTGAAAGTCTAAGCTAAAATTAAATAAATCAAAATGCTAATTCTTTTAAATGGAAATAACATTCTGGGGAGACAAGCTAACAACAACAGATGTACAAGCAGACTGCAGTAGGGCTGAAGCCGCACCTGCATGCTTCTCCAGCGGACAAAGAAGATGAACAGAGACTGTATGGAGAAATACATGGCAAATCTAGCTTTTTGCTTACACAGCCCAGGAGTGGTAAGATAAAATGGACATGGGGCACAACCTCAACAAAAAGGTAGCTAGCAAAAGCACAGAAAAAGCTAAGTAAATTACCAAAAGTACTAAGAGTCTAAGTTACTTAGAAATGTTTCCAGATGCAGCATGAACACAAGTGGGATCAGCAGACTTAAAATTGCTCAGAAGGAATGGTGCAAGGAGCCACATGCAAATGTTGTCCAGCTCAGAGGCTAAACTGAACCCTGTTAACTTAGTTCATGAATAGATTCACCACAAAAGCATCTCTGTTAACATGTGTTAATGGTTTTGTTTGGAAAAGAAATCCCCCCCCCCCCGCTTTAAGAGGCTTTAGCCCAAGCCAGTTGACAGTGATTGTCGTGAATTGTGAAAGCTTATGGTGTGTCATGTCAATCCATTAAAACCCCAATGCTGAGTGTCAGCTTGGTCAGGCCCCTTGGCCCTGAACAACTCACCCAGACCCACCTGCCACTCTCATGCTGAAAAGACTTACGAGCTTGAGAAGAGGCAGCAATGCTCTCAAGCAACAAGAAGTGCTGCTGGGACAAGAGACAGGAGGAACACTGGGAGTCCGTAGCATGGAGGAAACAGAAATGAGAGCACTGTGAAGGACAACGAAGTTTAATGAGCAGAGATGGGGAAGAGTGAACTCGGAGACACAGAGCAGTAAGTTAAAACATAGGGCAGCAGAACCAAGCAGAATGAAAACATGGCAGCAGTTACAAGTTTGGAATGATGTTTAATCCATCAACAGTTCCTTTGACAAATATCACGGTGTCTTCTAGCTACTTAATCTCAACTTTATTTTTTCCTCTTCTTAAAGGCAAGAGGTGGGCCTCAGAAATATGGTGTGACAGGCTGGCTGCAGATTCAAGGCCTCAAAAAATCAGATGAAGGTGTTTACATCTGCCACACCAAAAATAAGCATGGTGCCACATATGCCTCTGCAAGATTGAAAGTCATTGATGGTAATTATTTTGGGGTTTTGGATGTAAAGTATATAAGAATGCATACAAGCAGGCTGCAAAGGATGGGCTTGTCAGAATGCAAATGAAGGATATGAGAAATCACCTAAAGATGTCCATATTTTAATTTTTCTGTCCTTTTCTTCTACTTTATCACCTAATGGGTTAATAGTGTAATATTCTGCTGTGTATTACACCAGCTTCCAGAAATCAGCTGTGGACTGTAGCCATACAACTGAGACACATCCCACTCCACTCACCTTTATCCTACAGAATTCCTCTGATGTTAACAGGAACTCTCACCCAGAACAGCTGCTGTAGCTGGGGTAGTCTCTGAACCATGGCAACTCTGCTTAGCTCTTTATTTTTCAATATACTAGGAAAGAAACACCTGTTGCTCCTTAATGAGAGTGTTTGAAAAGATGTAAGAAACAGCTCTACTATCATTCTGCATCAGGCCTAGTCCTGCAGAGTAACACCCTTCTTCCTCTGAAGAGAACTGGGTTTCCTGGCAAATATGGAATAAAGATGCATTGTTTTATATTTGCCCCGTGATCTAGAGGAGTTTGTCACTGGTCTAGTTTGTCACTGGCCTTGTTTGTGCAAGTGGCTTTCAAACTTATTGGCTCTGGTTGTAAGTTCAGGTACATATGATCTGCAGATGACTGAAATCTCAGTTTACTAGTGTAGGGAATTAAGTATATTTTCAACATCTTAAAATGTGAATGATCTAGAAATTTGCTCCTATAAGCTTTGGGTCAAGCCATCAGTTAAAAACCCTCTCCTTTGAATAGATAATGAGGATTCAGAAACACTGAGCTTGCCATAGAGATCCAAACCCATCTTTCCTCTCTGTTCCTATGTACAACTAATTTAACCTGATTTAATTATGTCTTGCAGGCTCATCTCCTTCATTTGCATTTAATGCTGGCAGTAGAAGTGCAAGCTACAGCATTGAATATGGGGAGTATTATGACCATTCTGATGAGGAAGATGATGAAGAATACGAATCCGGGGACTATGAAAATTGAAACAACTCTGAATAACAGTTTTTTTATACATCTGCTGTCCAATACCTTTCATACTCTGTTACATCTACTAGTAGTCTCTGTGCCGTAAATGGCCCCACTGATAATACACATACTCACTTCTGTATCCACCTTCCTGAAATTCAACTTTGGCTGCAGTGTATCATGGTACTGACCAGAAATAAGAGCAATTGTAAACCCACACATTCAGACTGTTGAATAAAATCCTTAAACATGCACCTGTCTACAAAGTATACTGAATGGATCACATTTTATATTCATTTTTAAGACGTAAATTGTAATTTCTTTCAAGCCTTCTGTCTGGAAAAAATGTTCATAGTTAAAAAAAAAAAACAAACCAACAAAAAAAAAACACAAACCTTGTATCAATTCTTTTTTCTATAATGTATTTAGAAATATCAGAAGATTGTTCATGTGGCAACAAGCCTAAACGTGAAGGCTGCAAAACAGTCTTCAGTCTCCTTAGTCTATGTTTTATCCTAAGTTTCAGCAAGATTTTCCTTCTTATTTGAAATTTTCCATCATTAGTCTCATCAAGGGCAAGCTCTCTCTCTGTTGGGGGTTATTTTGTTTACTTTTAATAGATATATGAAGCAATGGCAGTCTAAAGCAACTGCATAGTTTTACTAGCAGTACTCACAAATACTCAGAAAAGGTCTCTTGTGCACTCAATCAGATGAGCATGCCTCTGGCTCTGAATTAATGTATGACAGAAGATTCTAAGTTATGAAAACCACTTTTGAGAGACAGTTATACCTACTGGTGTCCATTGGCTGAGGATGAATGAATAGCAGTAAATTACTGAATGGTGTTAATGCCTAAGGAATAAAAAGTTCAGGCATCTACATGCAAAGCCTCAGTATTTCCAGTCAGTCATCTTTATCCAATGGACAAAAATCTGTAGTCATTACCGGATGCACTGAAGTAATTTAAGTTAATGGTGTTAAGGAAGCTTTAAAGGTAACCCGACTGTATGCATATACCTACAGCATAGATTGTTTTAATGTATATACAGGGCATCACAAATTTTCTTTAACACGCTGGCTGGTTTGTGCTTTCTTGCAATTAGGCAGATTTTTCCTTTCAATTTGAGTTAGATAAAGAGATTGGCTATAGACTGTGTTTGCCGTGAGGTATTATTGATCTTTGTCCAAGTAGCAAACAAGCAAAGAAGAATCTATTTTTTTTCAGACTTCCTAGAGTATTGTCAACTCATGAGCAGAAAGTATGCCACTGTGTCACTGAAAAGATTCATTAGTTTCATTCGAAGTAAGAAATGGCTTCATATTTAACTACTGATTCTGCTGTTACGGGCTCTTCCTGCTCTTCTTAGTGATAGGCCTAGTAACTTTTTTTGCTTATCCACTGTGTATTAACTTGAACATAAAATTGTGTTAGTAAAAATCACTGAACTTTTTTAAGCGGTTTTTGGTTTTGTTTTGGTTGGTTGGTTTGTTTTTTTATGGAACTATTTAATCTGCAGACATACACCAGATCAACTGTAATCTGTATTGCAAATGAATTGATTAGATTACTAAACCAATCACTAAACTGTGGCAATATACACTGGCATAGGATAGTAAGTGGCACAGAAAAGAATTCTGAAATGATTAGCCATAGAAAAGAATTACAATTCTCCAGGCTTTTTTGCTATTGTTAATGTAAAATGAAAACCAGAAATAAAAGAATGTTTGAATGCGAAAGCTTATTATCAGAACCATACCACATGCCAGGCTGCGAGTGTTTGGATGATGAAGTACATCTACTTGGAAAAAGCTAAGCTAACTTTCCCAGAACAAAGGGTTCTAAATTAAATATACTGAATTTGTCTATGTATATTTTAATATATTTAATAATTTGTTGCAAATTATCAGCCATTTTTTATCAGTAAGAAAACTGCATTTTAGGAAAAATCCTGATGTGATGCAAAAAAAAAAAAAGGAAACAGATACCTTTATCATTGGCTAGTTCGTTTTAGAAATGGCTGGTTTTGTTTTTATGCTTTAATTGAGTCAGTTAAAATTTAAAAAGCATGGAGAAGGTTCAGCCCTATATAAGCAGTGTGGAAAATGAATGGACATAATTGTGAATGCACTGCCTGTAGCAACAGATCTATTCCCAAAGTAACAACAAATTCAAGAAGTTGGTTTTATTCCACCTACCAGAAATGAGCTGGAAACTGTATATGAATGCTGTGGGGAGGTCTCAGTAGTGCATCTTCTGAGGCAGACCTAAACCCCTTCCTTAATTCAGATTCCACTGAACTCAGCAAGAATTTTATTATTATCTTTCATGAAAGCAAGTCTGAATTTCACATCCTGCTGCTGTCTGTCTCACAAGCATTGTCACTGTGTCACTTCCCCCTCCTATGAAAAGATAAAGGAATTGTATGAAAGTTCCTAAATAAATTACAATTCTTAATGCAGCTTTGTCGTTTAGGCTAGGAGTCTGACAGTCTGGGGTAGTTTCACAATCTAACATTCTTACTTGTGTTAAATCCCAGGAGTTTTGTCAGGTATTAGTCTAGGAATCCATTAATTCTTTAGCCAGACCAATTTTTTTCCCAATTAAAATAATCAGTCTATGGTTGACAGAAATCACATGCAAAAATGCAACTGCTCGTGTCTTGGAGATTAAAACGATTCAACTGATGATTAAGTAAGGTAGAGTCACATGGCTCCACTGTGCAGCTGAGCACACACCTGAGCAAGTGCTCCCTGCCTACCTCATGGGACAAGCTCTGTGCTCTCAATGTCTGTTTATGCTACCTGCCAACACTACCTGCAAACCCAGGGGGAACAGGTGTTTCTGCCCAGGAAGAAACACTGGCCCCAAGCAAGCTGGAAACCGGCTCATTGCTGCAGAAGCCACAAGCTCTCACTAGCACTTAGCAATGCATGTGCATCTCTCACGCTGAGCGTCCATAGATTAAACTTGGTTCTTAAACTATTTAACTTATTAACCTTATTTCTGCATGGTTTTGCATAGCTTAATGGCAATGGCCCATCACCTGGAGCAAGATTCATAGTCATTGCTAGAGCTGATGCTCTGCTCACAAGGTCAAGGTTTTTGAAGGATATGCAAGTTTCCTCTTTTTGTCCCATCTTAGCAAGCAGCTTCTGGCTCTCAGGGCAGTTTGTAATTGTATTGCATCTGAATGTCTCCCAAATTTTCCACATTATAATTTGTGGCTGACTTTTCTAACCTCTGAGTCACCATGCCATCCCCTGTTCCTCAGTCCTGGGAATTCCTCTGTTTCACTCTGTCTGCTTCCTTTAAAATCCTTTCTGTTCCCTTTCTTCTGTGTGTTACCACCAGTTCTTTTATTTTGCTCCTGCTGTTTTGTGACTATGGCTATAGATAAATTATTCTATTTCTTCACAGGATAATGGATGAAAAATGAGGCTAAGGCCCATGCCAGGGATGAGGCAGTCATTAGGGGACTGCGCAAGCCGAGCCAGCTTTTCAAGTACAATCCAACTGACTCTCAGAAGTGTCAGACACCAGTCACTTGTGAGGGCAAGAGAACAAGAAACTCCATTTAAAACCATTTTCCATTTTCATTTTGCTTCATTCTCCAATAATTACTTAAGGTATTTTGTGCAGTGATGCTGAACTCCAACTGTCGTAGTTCACATACAAAGAAATTACTCTTCCTGCCCTAATAAGACTGTCGTAACAGTTTCTCAACCCCACTTCTAAGAGGTGAATCCAGCTAGGAATATGTCCAATTCCCTTTTTTATTACAGGTGCAAAGCAGCTTCCATTTCCAGAGAAATTCTACCAGTTTGTGCCTCTTCTCTTGGGCTACCAGGCTTCACATGGGAATTTCTGCAGTGGTGCAGCAGGGAAACATAAATGATTTCACACAAACTGCTCAAGCCCTGTTATCACCTGCTAACCAGAATAAAAATGGCATGGACTTTCGATCACAGTTGAGAAGCTGGCTGCATTAAAACAGGTTTTCCCGTGCAGACACTTGTAGACATTGTTCAAGTTACTTTATGCCCTTAACTTGGAGGTTGACCTTTTTCTGCCTGGGATTTCCATGCTGTGCTTTCCTTACTTAGCCTGAATTATTCCTTGAACTCTAGAATGTCATAGATCCAACTCCGCCTTTGCAGTTCTTAACATGTAAAACATCTCTGTTAGTTTAACAGTGCTTGCTATCACAGACCCCACCTGTTACCTGTACCAGGGTTAGCAATATATGGGATTCACCTTTTCCAACTGGAAACTGACACAACTCTATTCTCCGAATCTAATTTTTTAGATCCTTTATAAGCACCTGTCAAGGAGGATTCCCCCCTTTCTGGACTAAGTGAGCAAACTGTCCCTTCAGACACAGCTGTCCCTTCAGACGTATCTCTGCTCATCACCTCTCAGCAACTGTGCTGTTTTCACTGAGGAACGCTTTCCTTTCGCTGTTGTCACCGTCCTAAATTCACTGGAACCCGCACATCCTGCAAAGCCACATACAGACTTATAGCAGCACTAAACTGGGGTAACCACTTAAAACCACACGTTCCCACTCAGGAGCCTCCTCTGCCTGGTGCTGCCACCAGGAGCTACGGAACACACTCCCACACTCCACCACATCCCCACGCCTCCGCGTAGGGCTGCGCGCACAAAATGGCGCCTCCCGCGTGAGGCGGCCCCTGGCCCCGGCCGGCCCCTGAGCCCGCCCCTGTGACAGCCCCGTCCCGTCCCGCCCCAACGGCCGCCCCCGGCGCGGTCCCGGCCAGCCCCTCGTCCCCGGCCGGCCCCGGCGCGGCTCGGTGCTTCCCCGTACCCTGGCCGGGCCCACCGCTGCTGGGGAAGATGGCGCTGCGCGTCCAGGTCAGAGCGGGGTCCGGTGGCACTTGGCGTGGCCGTAGGGGTGCGACGGGCCGTGGGGGGCCGGGGCAGCGGCGGGACTGCCGTGAGGGGGCGGTGGGAGAGCGGAGGGCGGGAAGTCCAGAGGTACGCGGTGAGGGGCGGAGGGCGGCGCTGGGGACCGCGGGTTGCGGGGGGGGTCAGCGCTCGCAGAGGGGCACAGGGTGCGCGGGAGCGACGGGCGGGTGAGGAGGCGAGCGGGAGCTGGCTGGTTGGCCGGAGTGCCGAGGCTAGGTCGGGCTGCTGAGGGCTGGGAGGCTGGTGGCAGGCTGCGGGGTAGTGCCGCGGAGCTTGCAGCGGTCGTGTCACCGTGCCCGTGGTGCGCGGGGCCGGGTCGTGGTGGCGGCGGCGGCGGTAGTGGCATGCGGGCTTTCGCTCTTCCCGCTGCATTAGCGAGTGTCGGCTGGGGACCCGCGCTGGGCTGCGGCTGCTCCCGCCCGTGTGAGGCAGCAGCACCTGCTCTCCCGCTGCCGCTTCTCCTGCGGGCGCTGGTGGGGCTCCCTGGGCAGCAGGGGCAGCCCCGCCAGGGCTCTGAGAGGAACATCAGCCACCGCAACTGTGCCTCAGCGCAGGAAGAAAAGGGGCGGGGGGGAAACGTCCCCAGAGGACACTTGCGGAGGTGTTAAGCGCTCCTCCGGAGTCCCCTGTGGTATCACTGGATTGGTGGCATCAGGCTTTGTCAGTGCTGGAGAGGCCATTTTAGGCATTTACTTAAATAGTTGGCGACCGGGCATGCTAGGTAAAAACACTACTAAAACATCTTTTGTTATCGCTCATACCCAAATGGCCTTTTTCTGTTTGTTTAGTTTTTATTTTTTTTCTCTCCTTTTAAGCAGTGGCATTTCAGCAGTTATGCCCATCCTGTTGCTCTTGCATAGAGCTGGTGGAACTTTGTTGATAGAACGTTTTCAGTCTGCAAACGCCAATTAAAATGTCTGTGGGAATTCGGCCGTGTCAGCAGAACTTTGATCAGGAACCTGACTGGTTTCCTGCCAGTTTGCTTGGCTCCGTGGCTGCCTGCCTGGTGGGTTGCTGTGGAGCCGGGCCCCTGGCATTCCTGGCCCTTGGTTCTTCCACAGGCTGGCAGGAGACCTGCCAGGGACTTGGAAGAAGAGGACCAGAAGTGTATAGAGAACTTTACTTATTCTTGAATATTATGCAAGTGTGACAAGCAGGTGGAAAAAATAAATAAATAAATAAGTCAATCACAGTATCTGACCTTTTTCATTAGGGTGTGAAGCTGTTTTCTTGGAAAAAATTACACTTTGTGATCCAGAATGCCACTTACACAGGTCTGTTTCTACCTGTGACTTGCTTAAAACAGTCAGCATCTAACTGGAAGATCCTCTTCATTGACACAAGTGTTGTTTTCTTAGGAATCACCTTTCAGCTATTGATAAAGGTCTGAGGGAAGGAGGGATCTGAAGGCATCCGTTTCACATGCAGTGTAAAAGAGATTGTGACAGTCTTCTTTCTTGAAGAAAATACATAATAAATACAGAGCAGGTTTTTGACTTTCTGTTGGTTTCTCAGAATATTTTCTTAATAAAGTTAATCTCTGTTGCACAGCTGAGTTGCTGTTGTACACAAGATGGTTGTGTTTGCTGATTTCAGGTTGTACTTTTTGGTTGCACTCTCTGAATCAAGGAAAATCAGCATGTTTCCTTGGTATTACACATACAGTATAACCCAGAGAACATCTGACATGTTCCTTGGCAGTCTGAGCATTCTGTGTGCTTTCTGGTCATACCTCAAGTCTACCAATGAGAAGCTTTGTTGTAATTCTCCTGAGACCAACCATGTCCAGATAAAGCATTTCGAAGTGCTGCAGGTCATCAGTCTCAATATCCGATAAACCAACTTTTCTCTGAAGATTGTAACCTAGGGTTTTTTTCAGGCTTGCTTTAAAAATACCCTCATTGTCACTCAGATAAAATGCTTCAGTTTTAACTTTTCAGCAAGAAGTTAATCCTGATCCTTAGCCTACATTTCTAAATTTTGGTGTACCCTTAATATATTAACACAGTATGTTAAAGTGCCTATGTTATTGAAATCCACCGTCAGTTTTTGTGTGTGAGTGATTTGTTATCTAGCTTATAAATTACTTGCTATTTTAATGACAGTTAGTATACAGGTGATTAGACCTTGGTGGTTGTGCTGATATCCATCCCAGTTGTATTCTGGACTTTCTCAGGCTTGCTGCCAGGTTTGTCCAGGCTTGAAAGTCAAATTTCAGATCACATATAGATGCGTCTTTAACTTTTTCTGGTTATGAGATGATAATTCAGTTTATGCCTCTCGGATCATATTGGAATTATACCATTTTGGAAAGATGTATTCTCTGAAGGCTGTCTTTGCTAGATGGCCTTATTCCCATGGTTTAGCCCAATTGCATGGGGTTTATGTTGTTTTCCCTGGCATGTGTGCTTGCATTTTATAAGTTAATTTTAGGTTAATTTTCACTTTAATTGGCATAGCTCTTGCTTAATTTAAAATTACATTGCTGGGGTTGTTACCTGTTCCTTATTTTTCCTTTACTCTCTCTGAACATAGTGGGGGGGGGACCAAAACCAAAAGATGTCTCTACTAAGCTCAGCCTTTGAGGTATTTGATCTGTTCATTGCAGAAGCAAATGTGCTATTTCTTAAAATTTCTCCAAAGGAACATTTCTCCTTTTTGACTGAAACTCAGGGACTCTTAAAATGTCATTGTTACTGAAATTCAGAAAAAGCTGATTAAAGCCAGGAACTCAATATGCACATCAACAAAAATGAGGAAAAGGCTATGATGATGGTTTGGGGGGGGGGGGGGGGGGGGGGTGTCTCCAAGAAATGACAATTACAAAACCAAGGGTACTTTTGTTGCCTAAATGCTATTACTGTCTTGGATTTTTAAAAGACATTTCAGCATGCTAGACTGTGCCGAGCCAGATCTTATGTATAAAATATCTTTTTGGAAGGGCTAGTGAACAGGCTTTCGACTTTTAAATGAGACTGGTCAAATGCTGTGGTTTCTCTTTTCTTTCTAGGCCACGCTTAAGTCATGAAATATTTACTGGATACCCTTTAATGACGTGGCTAGTTCTTGCTGGGAGTCACACAGGCTTTTGGTGGATGCTAAAACTTTTGTTTGTGTAATGATCCCAAAACATGCTCAAAGGGTTCATCTGTCCTACGAGAATGAATCCCTCATGTAGGAGAGAGAGGTTCCCAGCATGCACCTTCTTTACCAAAGAGAATTTTGTCACCTTCTTAGTAGAGGGGAATTTTAGCTCTTCTGTTGCTATTGTAGTTTCACTTCCACTGATACTTGCATTAGCAGTTATAGGCAATTCTAATTTTTTCCAGATGCATCAATTTAATGAGTAATTACAGCTTTTAAAATGAAATTTGCCAGAAGTTTTCCAAAATATAACTCAAACTGCTCACTGTGCTCTGTCTTTACATCTCTCTTTGGAAGAATGATGGAATTACCATCTAAGACTCAGAAAAAATAGGGGAATTGAACCGTATTAAGAAATACTTTGGTAGCTGAGAGAATAAGAAATAGCAACTTAATTTTCAGTGTTACTTTTGGCTTCTTGTCACAGAAAGACTCCTGTTTTTTTGTTTAAATGCAAATCAACTGGAAAGCTTAACATAGGTAACAGTTCATGTTACTGGTATAGTATCTAGGTTTATAAATACTTCAAGAAATCTATGTGGTTGAAAATTCTTTATGAAGGTTTCAATTGTATTCTTTCCTAACAGAGTCTGGCAGAACTCGAAGTGTTGTGTAACCACCTATACGAAGGAACTGATCTAGAACAGCGAATGCAAGCTGAGAAAGTAGTCTTAGAGCTTATTGACAGCCCAGGGTGTCTTAGCCAATGCCAACTTCTATTAGAACAAGGAACAGTAAGTATCTCGAGTGTTATACATAAATGTAATTTTGCTTGTGGAAGCTCACGTATGTTTCTCAGTTGGGCCATTACCTGTCAGGACAATTAAGGCAAAATGCTTTTCTCTTTTTTTTTCTACGTATTCTGTTTCATAAATGATTCTAGAAATTTTTCCATTTGGAGGTGGTCTTTGTAGGAGTGATAAAACCTTGTGTTAGCAATATCAGGGACAAAAAGGGAAAGCATTTTAGCTTTCAGTACTTTCAGAAGGGTTGTAGTCAGGGGTTGTGTCGTCTGTAGAGCATCGTCAGAACACAGTGTGGTGTAAGCTGGTGCTTGAACATCATATTAGCTACCGTGACAAGAAATAAAGTATTAAAAGAAAAAAAAAATCCGCAAAGTGCCTGTCGTTCTGTTGTCTGCTAGTTTAAACCATTCTGTTTTAACTCTAGATAAAGCGATCGAGTTGATTCTTATTTGATAGTCTAAGCTAAGTCTAATATAATTCTTGCTGTGTGTTTCAAATAATTCAAAAAGAGAGAGAAAGAAAAAGAGAAAACATAAAAAAATATCTTTAATCCAGGGCTGGACCCATGATAATCATCTCATGGTTCTAAATTATCAAATGATTTAAAAACAGGTTTCAAAACTAAAGAACTCTACTGAATAGTGAAATTACTTTAGATGAATGGTTTACATCAAAAGAGATGATAATTTTAGGTCTCCACCTTTTTATTAGTGTTTTGTAATTTAGGTTTGTTGAGAGTGAAACAAAATAAATCTTTTATAAGTTTTTGGCACCCAAAACAAAAATAACTGAAATCTGGTAACCAGATCTGGTCTATTGATTATTTATCAGGTTTTGACTTATTGTCGCTGACTTTAGTTAGCCATTTTTTATTTAATAGTATCTTTTGGTGTGCTTTTGTAGACATCCTATGCTCAGCTTCTAGCAGCAACGTGCTTGTCTAAGCTTGTAAGCAGGGCATCTCCGTTACCTGTCCAGCAAAGGATTGACATTCGTAAGTAATGTTTGTGATTCAAATTTCATTATATAAGTTGGATCTAAAACTTCATGTTAGCACAGTAACCACGTGGTCTGTTTTTTCTCTAGTTCTTGCTATTTACCAAGCCTGTTATAAATAAGGTAGTCATTGTGAAAGAGTGAACATAAAGGTGATTGAGAGGTGTTTCCTTGTTTCTCTGCAGTTAGCTCACAAATAACATTTCCTGTTTTCAAAATTAAAATAAATTCATTAGCTCAGGTTAATTCATATTTTTTCAAGAACCCTAATTTTTTCATGGTAGGCTTTGTACTTATCCTGCAAGATGCTGAAGTGATCTAGTATGTATTTGTAAAGGATCAAAGTTGCAGATATTGTTAGTACACCTGCCAGTCACAGGTAACATTGCTCAGGATCAGCTCTTAACCTTTGTAGAAATCATGCCAGGTCAGGTTTCTACTTGCAGGATTAAGATCCTACAAACTTATTACTTTTCAGGATCTATGTTAAAGTCATTGCTATATTCTAAAAGAGTAAGCAGGTATGTGTTAGGTCTTTAATAGTGAAAGGCTTTGCATGAGGAGCATACGATTCAGTTTGGGTTTTTAGCACATTTGCACTGTTGTATCAGTTCTTTGAGTAGTAGTACTCAAAAAGGCATGTCTGAGAATCAACCTGTTCTGATGAAAGGTTTCAGTGTTCTGTTAGATAAAAATTAACTTGAATCAGCTTTAATTATGCACATTTCAACAGCTTTTGAAACAGGTTAGCTTCGTTCTAGTTAGAGAGGAATTTCTGCAGCTGCAGTGTGCATTGCCTGAAAGGATGTTCTAGGTTGAATTGAGAACGTTCAGAGGGAAATCTTGTCTGAAAACACTTTGTGTATCTTGAGTTGGCTGTGATTGCTGCTGTTACATAGTGAAATACTCAGTCCCCACTGTATAAGTCCTTAGTGAAAAGTTACTGTTTTACCTGCCACAGTTCTCTGAATTCACAAACTGTCATCGCATGTGTCCTAGAAAAACGATGATGTAATGTGCTTTGTGTTACTAAATGTTGAGCTGTATTTAATGATTTGGCATAACTTATATTAACTATAAGAATATAGCTTTTAAAAAATCCATACTTTGAGTTTCTATTAGAACCATTTAATTAATTTTCTTTTTAGAAGACTTTTGTTGCTGATTATAAAATGCTTCTTTCCAGGAAATTACATTCTGAACTACCTAGCATCTCAGCCCAAACTGGCTCCTTTTGTCATCCAAGCTCTTGTGCAAGTCATTGCTAAAATTACAAAATTAGGATGGTTTGAGGTACTAAAAGATCAACTCATCTTCAGAGACATTATTGCTGATGTAAAAAAGTTTTTGCAGGTAGGAAACAGTCCTTCACTTCTGCCATTTTTTTCTGTTTGGACCTCTTCCTTTTTAGTGATTGGCATGTTATGTCACTTGGGTGGGAAAAGTGTGAAGAGCATTGCTTAAAATAGAAGATCTCCCTGCAGTGAAGAACCAGTGTGGGTTTGATACTTGTGAGCTTGTGGGGTTTGATGCCTCATAGTGTTCATAGTGCTGTCATGGTTTCTGTTCGTTTTCTTTCTCCAGAGCACTTTTTCATAGTGTGGTTGTAAACCATCAGTCCCTGTTGTCAAGCCATTCTGTATATTGCCTTTTTTTTTTTTTCTGTTTTCAATGGATGTGGAGATACATTTCTGATACTGTTAGCTCCAGTTATCTTATTACCTGATACTGCACCATCAGAAGAGTGAGACTGTCCAGGGCTTTAAAGCATGAGTCTGATTGTTATTCTTGTAATAATGACTGCTAAAAGTGTGGCAAACTGTTCAGTTGTAGAACTGTATTTTTTCAGATGCCTGTCATGAGTAAGAAAGACACCCTTAGGACACCAAACAAGTTGTTGGAGTGTTCACTGTTACAGTCTTACATTGTTGCTTTTGTGTATCATCAGTGGGACTTCACCTGCAATATAATGCTTAGGAGTAATCACTTTACATCCTCTTCTCTGAAGAAAGCTTATGTAAAAGTAGAACTGAAGTACACAAAATTACAGGACACTGTACTTGTTACATGGTTGTGGTCCTTGTTTGCCCCATTCCTTTTTCACTTAATGAGAAATTAATGCCTTGTATTTGCATGCATGGGCAGTTAGGCACCTGCGTGTGTATATGTTCTCTGTCCATACATGTAAAGAAGAGTGAGAATAAAAAATAAACCAAAAGACATTCTGTCTCTCCTAGGATTGTAGTGTACAATCTAGGGAGATAATAAGTTTAGAGTGTTTTTATAACTTTACCTGTTTTAGCATATGTATTTAAATCTGACCTAAGTACATTCTAGGTAGGGATACGGGAAAGTGTAGGAGGACAGATCACTCATCTTCCCTCTCCAGTAACTGGATGAGGCAGGAATGTTCTTGTTTTATATTTCTTTCCACATTGTTTCCTGTTTCCACGTTGCACTGTGAGAAAGATATGTTATAGGGTAGGAAGATGATCTTGGTACATAGGATTTGAAAATTGGAAGTAATTTACTCTGTCAGAGTGCACAGTCATTTGCTGTGGACTGTTCACTTTTCAAGTTTACAAGTCAAATCTGGAGTAAGCACTGTCAGACACAGTGGCTAAAGATAGAGGACATATAGCACCTTCTGTGGAGTAAGTTTGAAGAATGTGGTTGGCTGTCACAGGTTATTAGCCAGACTTGGTTATTTCATACATTTAATGTGTACAGAAAGGTTCTTAAAAGGTTTTCTGGAAGGTGTTTAATGTCCTTTAAGAGTTTAATACAGATTAATCTTTCTGAGTGTCTGTGTGAGCATAAAGCCTAGTGCTTATTTTGAGGAAAAAATAATCAGGAAATTTAAGCTATTTGGAAATTTACTTCCAAAATGATCTATTATGTGTTTGTGTGTTGGTGATTGTGGCAACTCAGCAAGAAGATAGGAAGTTATATTTCTTGCCAATAAATTTCTGATTTGTTTTTCCATCTTCGTTTATAATACTGCTGAAGTTAATGTACTTTTTGAGTTACATTGGGAATGTCTAATAAAAGATAAGTTGCAATATTCTGTTTATTAAAAACAAACATGATTCTACAACAGTTTGCAGTTATTTTTATGAATGTACTGTAATTGGATTTTGCATTTATTATTAAACTGATTGCAATGTGAGTCTTAAGTGTAGCTCATTAAAAGTACAGATTTAAATACAAAATTTAGCTTCTTAAGAGATTTCTTTAGTTAAATTAAGAATTCCTGTAGAAAAGAAAATTAAGCCGTAGATCTACTAGTGAATTAAATTTTAGATAAAAATGTAAAAGATAATCCCTAAACAATACTAATATCTGTTAATAATTAGCATATGGTAGTTTCAAATACATATGCATTAGTATTCCAGTTTAAAGTTAATCCAGTATGAATTTGAGTGTGATTTAATGTAGGAAAATGGGTTAGCAGCTAGGACTGGAGTTCTGTTCCCAGCTCCTTCATAAGTCACCACACAGCTTTTCACACCTGTGGGAAAGGGGAGGTTGCATTTTCCATGTCTGTAGGCTGGTGTGATGTAAGGAACGTTCATATAGACTTATTTTAAAAATGTGAAATGTAAAAGGAAGTTCTGTTCAACTTACGGAACAGGATGTTTAATCGTACCGAATGCAGAAAGGGCAGCAATGTAAATGTTGCCTGAGAGTTCTCTGACATTTTGTCTGTTGCTTCATAAGTTGAACTTTGGGTGAAGTTGTAAAAATGAGTGTGGTTGTGAGAGGTATCAAGGATATTTTGACAAGGATGACATTGCTTTTTGAACACTTGGGGAGCTGAGCCTGCAAACTGCAGCTGTGAAAGTAGACATAGAGATCTTCCCCCCTGACTCAGTGACCCAATTGCAGTTGATTTTAATGGGCTACTCACAGTCTTATTTTCAGATGGGTTTTTGTTAAATCATGATTGATAATGATTTTTTCAGAGCCACATAGGAAGTTTGAAGATCTAGTTCTACTGATGTTGATAGAATTTGGCATGAAAGTCTTCTAAACAGCTTAGGGTATCTCAGCCTAAAAATTCTTCTTGATTCCAGAAATGTTGGAAAATAGAAAATTGTCTGATTCTAGAAATGTTGAAAAACACTAACTACAAGCTGTGATGTTTGAGCATTCCTGCCTGTTTTTTTTCTGTAGGGCACTGTGGACCATTCCGTAATAGGAGTAATGATTCTCTCAGAACTGACTCAGGAAATGAATCTAGTAAGCATGTTTGTTGGGTTTTACTTTTTTCCTTCCACAAGGGATGTATGTATTGCTCAGGAAGCAATGTGTTGAATGTTTTTGCCCTTCAGAAAAATGGCTGGAGAAAGATTTCTTAGACATGAAGGGATTAATACATACCCTCCTCCCCCCGTCAGAATAGAAAGACAGACTAGAAATTCACAGTGCAGGGATTCTACCTGTACCAGATACCCTCTGTCAGATATGGCATGTAAGTTTCTTTCATCACAGTCACTAGAACTGGTAAAGCAAAGCGAGTGATCAAATTCAAGTGTATTTCTGCTAATGATATTCTTTTGCCTACATCTTAACCTGAGGAAGTGCCTTAGAGCTTTTCATCCAGATATACAACCTTGAAGGATAAAAACAAAGGACTTCAGGAAGCTGTCAAGAACTGTGTTTAGTGCTGGACCATAATTTTAATTTTTAGTGTCAAATAATCTGACAGATATATCTGTCATAGTTATGGCAAAGAAGGGAACAGTGTTTATTCTGTCCTAACTTTTCTTAGGTTGATTATTCAAGACCTTCATCAAAGCATCGTAAAATTGCCACCTCATTCCGTGACACCTCTCTAAAGGACATACTGATGCTTGCGTGCTCACTTTTGAAGGAGGTGAGGCTCTTTATAATTGCACCTAAATCATTAACATCATAATTGTCCCAGTTTGTGTCCTTAAGCTTTTCTGAGTTTAGGAATTCTGTATTTAAATGGATTATGTGACACCCAGTTAAGCTCAAGTGACTGAAAAATTACAGTCCTCCTTGTGTGTCTCTTGCTGTCTCTCAGTTTTTCTGTCTGTGCCATCTCTCTTTTTATATCTTGCCATAACGAATGAAATACCTAAATTCTGAGCTTCTCTTTTTTTTTGATGTTTTTCTTGATTGCATCTCAGTTTTGTTGGGTCTGCCATCTCAGTATTTGCTAAAGCATTATTTATTAAACTGGGAGTGACCAAGAAGACAGACAGATGCTCTGTCTGGTGGTATGGCAGTGCAGTCCAATCTGGCCAAAGTGGTTTTCCCCTTCCCTAGTTCTCTTAACCTCTCTGTAGCATTTTGGGGTTATTCAGGCTGCAGCCTCTCGAGAGCCTGGACAGGAGGTGGTGAAGAACTGCACACTGTAAGCTAGGTCTCTCAGGACCAGGTAGGTTGAACTGAGATCAAGGCTGGAATTTGCACACTTTCCCTTTTGCGTTGATCAAGGCCTTCTATAGCAGTGGAATTGGCACCATGAGGTACCATTCTAATTCTCTTTAAGCTCAGGAAGCATTTTGCTTTTGAGAGCAGCTTATTTTTTTAATGTTGCTTGATTTCTATTCTTTGACACTTGGGAGTGCTGGTTTATTTGTTTTCTCTGAAAACCAAATGAATTGGGTGGTGAAATTTGGACGCAGGCCCTTAAGCTAAGAATTTAAACACAGATGCCATCTCAGTGGATCAGTGGATAATGGTTACAATTACTTTTTTGGCTAAAGAAATAATTCTCAAGGTTGAGAGTTGTGACTGAGTTACTGCTGAAAAAAAACAAGAGAAACTGTGTTAACTTAAATTTCTTTCAAAGTACATTTTTCGTCTAACTAGCATGTTTTACCTCACACTGGCAGTCAGTTTCAAGGGCATGTGTGGTCAGCTACCAGTGCTCAGGTGACAAGCAGTGTATTTATTTAATATATAGAGCAATTAAATAGTGTGTTAACCCTCACCTCTGAAGGGGAAATCCTCTGCTGATGTACAAAGGATGTTTTAAATCAGTGTTGGGATTGAACATTAATGGAGAAATTGTATATAATTTAAAACAATTGGGTAGTTTGGAAGAATCTTCTTAGAGATAGTAAACCCCATTCCACAAAATGGTAAATATAAGTGTGAGAACCTGTATCCTACAACAGGTTCCTAGCTTTCTTGAAGCTCAGCTCGTCAGCAGGTGCTTTCTTAGTCTCTCATGTTGAAAGGTATGTCTGAGTAACATCACGCAGATTTCCATACAGAAACATAAGAAAATTAGAATTTGTTTCTTTATAATGCCAACTTCAGTAGAGTAGGCTGGGTTTAGAAATATTTCAGTGTCTGTAATACACTGAAAAATACACTCACACAACTAATTCCACAGCCACTAATTCCACAACTAACAAATGTGGAATCACTAAAATAATCCCAAGAGATTAAACATTACTGAGAAGACTGGTGGCAAAACAGGTTCTGTTCATACAAGACGTACTAAAATTCAGTGTTGATTTCAAAGCTAAATTTATAATTTAGTGTCAATTCTAATGTGGTGCAAGAGTTATTATCAAGTTAATGAGGCATCTGATGGCACACAGTTGATTTAAATTCCTATCATCAGAATTTTAAAACTTCCTGTTAATAAACCTAAGATGTGACTTTGAATTTAAATAAGGAGCAGATGAACTAGATGGAGTTGTTGCATTTGCGTTTATTTTACTGTTTTTCTAGGCAAAATTATGTCAGTATTTTATGTTCACAATCTGCATCAGTGCTGAGTGCATTTGAGCTTTGTTTTCAGTGCTATTATATTGTGTATGTAATCTTGAGGTAGTAATATCTTCAAGCTAAAATGTTATCATTATAGAAGGGGATGGATAAAATGTGTTCTCACAGTATGTTGAGTATAGACTTCAAAATTCAGACAGCTTGTTTAGCTTAAAGTACCTTTTTATTCTGACACTACACGGGTTATAAAGCAGTAGAAACAGTAACAGCATTTGTACAGATGTTGTAAATAGCTACATTTACATTCCAGACTGCTCATTTCATTGTTTTTTTAATGCCACTTTTTTCTACACTTAGCAGAGGAACAGTTTAGCCGCCTGGACATCAAACTGAAAAATAACCAATTGTAGAGGTATTTTTTACCCATATGATTCATACTCCCCGCTGGTCTGGAGTAACTGAAGTTACATGACACCTTACAGTTTAATTTTTGCAGTGAAGTTAACACTCTTTTTAACAAACAGTGTTGGTGATGTGCTGAGTTTTACCTGGAAGTATTTTATGCAAAAAGATTATTTCACCAGGCTTTGTAAGATTTGTAAGTCTGGGAGCTTTAGCATGACGTGGAAGATGTCTCTGAGGTAGTAATAGTAATTTATTGTTGAAGGATTTATTTTTTTTCTCTTAATACGTGCTCTCTTGCTTTGAACTTTGCAGTTTTATATCCAAACCTTTCCCTTTTCAAAGCTGTTTTTAAGGCATGTTCTGTGCAGGTGACCTAACAAGGTTTCTTTTCTCTTTAGCTCTTGGCAAAACCTTTAACCCTTCAGGACCAACGGCAGCAAAGTCTAGCAATGCAACTTTTGAAGCTTGTACTAAACTGTCTTAATTTTGATTTTATTGGAAATTCAGCTGACGAATCTGCAGATGACCTGTGCACTGTGCAGATTCCAACAAACTGGAGAACAAGTAAGAAAGGACCATAACTGTTAGTCTGAAATTTATATCCAGTGGTTCTATAACTGCTTTTGTCACAGGACTTGCAAGTATGAAATAGTTTCTAATGTGGAGTAGATTTTTTTTTTTGTGGCGAGTTGTTTGTAAACTTCTTCTGCTATTTCTATCACACTTCTCCTATTGTTACTTTTACAGAAAGAAATAATAGTCTGTAACATAAATATTCACAGTAAATTAAATTTTTCTGATTAGACACTGAATGCTGTTCTCATTCCTGGCTTGAGCACCTTGAAGAGGTACTGCAGTTGCAGCATGTCTGTTTTCCCTTGTCTTCTTCCTGATGAGAAAAATGTGATAATCATGGTTTAGTGTGCTAATATGTGTTCTAGTATGTGAGCTTGTTAATAGAGGCAGCAGGAGGATTGCATCTTGATTCTTAGATTCTACAGCTTTGACTTCCTGGTATACAGTGCAGACGGTGGTCTAGTATAAGTATGTCTGTGGTGGTCTGACCCTGGCTGGAGGCCAGGTGCCCCCCAAAGTCACTCTGTCACCCCCCTCCTCAGCTGCACAGGAAAGAGAAAATACAACAAAAGGCTCATGGGTCCAGATAGGGGGACAGGGGGAGATCACTCAGCAATGGCAGTCATGGGCAAAACATACTTGACTTGAGGAAATTAATTTACTACTGGCTAAAATCAGAGTAGGGTAATGAGAAATAAACCCGAATCTTAAAAAACCTTCCCCCACCCCTCCCTTCTTCCCAAGCTCAACTTCACTCCTGTATTCTCCACCTCCTCCCCTCCAGTGGCACAGGGGGCACGGGGAATGATGGTTGTGATCAGTTCATCACGTCTCTGCTCCTTCCTCCTCAGGGGAGGAGGGTTTTCCCAAGCCTTTAGTTAAGATACTTCAGATTGTCCATGAAGGGATCTCTCTTTGGTCATTAAACCCAGAGAAAGCCTAAAGGAGATTAAACTTTATTATGTGAGGCTTTATTTTACACCAGTCATCCTATGAAATAATGCTTATAAATGGAATAACTTTGAAATATCACTTCATTTGTGAGATTTATTAATTGTGAATTTTTGGTGAACTTCTACTCTGTTGTTACCCCTTCATAAAGTGTGGGGTAGTGTTGTAGTTCATTTGCATTGTAGTTCATTCAATGTGATTCCTCAGTGTATTGGTAACTGTTTAAAGCATTTTCTTCTGTTTATCAGTCTGTAGACTTCAGGATAGTCTTTGGAACTTCTGTTAAAAACTTGTCTTTTTTTAAATACAGACTAAACTCATCCTTAGTATCTGAAACCTGTCTTGTCTTAGTGTACTACCATAGTAACCTGAAGGAATCAGTTTACCTACATCTATAACAAACCTGACAAAGTATTGTATCATCAGTAAGGGAAGTATTCTTTATGAGCTGTAGCACAGATTAAATGTGATAAAAAGAGTATGGTGCTTTGATATTTTACAGTGAACTGATTAATCCATCCATTCATAATTTATTCTCAGTTACAGTGATACCTCTTACTGTTTTGGTTACAAAGAAGGTGATACAGTTAAAGATAATTACTGCTTGTAGTGTGTTAAAACCAATTTCTCTTTTTCCATAGTCTTCCTGGAGCCAGAGACCTTGGACCTGTTTTTTGATTTGTATCATTCCCTTCCACCTATGCTGTCTCAGTTAGTAAGTGAAACTTAGTGATTTACACTCAAGTAATGATGGAAAATAGTCTTTTAACAGCTATACCTTGTACAAAAGACTGTTTTATTCCTTGCATTAACATTTTATGAGTTCTTGTGGGTCAGTGCCCACTCAAAATGTCTTTTCTTTCAACTTCAGCCCCAGTTTTCATTTCTGAATCGGAAAGCATCCAAATACCTCCTCCCCCAGTTCAGCATTACTCAGCCACCTGATGATAAGTCAGAAGCTGTTATAAACAGCCACATCAGTGTTTAGTGATTGCATAGACATTGCTGCAAAAATAATTTTCAGCTGCAGAATGTACTACAGACAGCAGTGGAATGGATTGCTCTAAACATTTAAGATATATTTATTCTGAAAGTTTAATTTTTTTTTTTAGTCTTACAGTATTTTTTAATTATTACTATTCTTTAGGCACTTTCTTGTTTAGTGCAGTTTGCTTCTACAAGGAGATCTTTATTCAGCAATCCAGAACGTGCCAAATATCTTGGTAATCTGATCAAAGGAGTGAGACACATCCTGGAAAATCCACAGGTATCTCTTTAATTTTTATTTGATTTATTTGAAATGCTAAAACATTATGCATTTGTTGTTCCAGTTACACCCTTCATTAATATACTCAGTTGATCAAAACCGCTTTCAGCCAGATTTCTGTTTGCTTTGATTTTCTATTCAAAACAAAGCAAAAGTCCTGTGCAAATAAAACTGGCACCCAGTTAGCAAGACTGCTTATACAATTTCTATTAGATTAAACTATTAACTTCTGAAAAATTGCTGCTTTTTATTTAGGGTTTATCTGATCCAGGTAATTACCATGAATTTTGTCGGTGTTTGGCTCGGCTAAAAACCAACTATCAACTGGGAGAGCTAGTAATGGTGAAAGATTACCCCCAAATCATCCAGCTTATAGCAAATTTCACTATTACTAGCCTACAGGTAAGAATATATACAGATTTGGTTTTGACTCTTGAATGACAAAGAGGACTGGCCCCAGTTCTCTGTGGTGTTTGTGAGGAGGTGGTGATGCTTGTCTTTATGTGAAGTGCATTTTGTCAGAGATGTAACTCAGATGTAATCTAAGTTCTCTGGAACCGGTTTGCACTTTTCTGATGCAGTTTTGTAGTGGGAGCAGTTTTAAAGGAAAGAACAACAACTGAAGCACAACATCGATGAACGTTAATCCTTCAACCTTAGTTCTTGCCCTCAAAAAACAAAAATCCAACACACTACACCCTTTATACAACCCTAAAATACTTAACACCTATGCTCCCATGTAGACTTTGAAGTGCCTACACTGACTAGGTTCTTGAGTTGTGCTTTTGTCCATGTATATATACCTTTGAATTCATGGAATAATGGCTACATTTTTGTGGGACCTACATCTGTACAAGGACACATGTCTCATGGTCAAGATTCTCACAGTGTTAAAAATATCAATTTGGCAGTCATGCACTGTTTGAGTAATAAGAGTTGTTATTTTATCATTTCCTCCAGAAAGAGCTGAGATGCATTTTTATTCTTTACATTCCCTCTTAGGTGGCTCTGGACAGTTTTTTATTCCACATTTAGGGTTTGTGAATGGCCCTTTTATAGCACTTAATTCTCACCGTGCACTGTTTAAGAATCTAGGCCTAGGTCTGAGTCCTGGATTTTACTGAGAGGAGGTAGGAGTACCTACAAGTAATGCTGAATCTAATGTATGCCATAGCATGTCTCAGTTCTGATGGCGTCCTTCGGTAGCTATGTGAATTAATAAGACTAAATAAAACCATCATGTTTCACAGCTAAAATTTCACACTGGGATGCTTTAACAGAAGTATGTTTTGTTTTCTTATAGCACTGGGAATTTGCTCCAAATAGTGTTCATTATTTGCTAACTCTGTGGCAAAGAATGGTAGCATCTGTTCCATTTGTGAAAACGGCAGAACCCCACCTCTTAGATACATATGCACCTGAGATAACAAAAGCTTATATTTCTTCTAGACTGGAATGTGTTCCTGTAGTTATAAGGTAAACTTGTAATTGCAACTTTAAGATTGTAATGTGGAATGTTTAATTTTCTGGTTTGCTGGCATATTATGTTTTGTTTAAAATGGAAGTACACTGGTTCTTATTACCATGGTGATTTCTTTAGCTGCTCTTAGTTGGCTGATATAATTTTACTCGTTTTGCTTATTAAATCCAGGCCAAAATCAAATGTAAATTCTAATTATGTTTCCTTTCATGGGTCTTTGTGTTTTGAAACAAGCCTATTCCCCACACCCCTTCTTTTTCAAGGCTATCTAAATTAACTGTATTGTGACATGTTTTCTCAGTGAATCACTTTCTAGGGCCATAGAGGGTAGAGTGATGGGGGAAAGCAGATTGAACCCCATGCATGAGAAAGGGTGAGACCGAATAAAACAAGCTAGTGAGTGTCAAGATTGAAAGTGGCCAATTTAAGTTCTTAGCTCAAATCTTCTTTTTAATAGTTTAAATAAATGACCTGTAGTCCACAATATAATATAGCACATAAGAAAAAGGTGTTTAGATTACTAGGAAGGATTTAGTTTTCTTCAAGGGCTTTTATGAATTCCTACTGATAGGATTTCCTGTCAGACTACAGGACTGCAGAATAAGTCACATCTGCTTTTGGTTTTCAATTTTGCATTACTGAGATAATGTTATTTGTTCAGTTTATGTGAGGAAGTACATTCAACTTTACCATTATTGTCCTTTTTGTCTTATCTTGGCCAACATCTCATGTCTGCAAATTACATCATTTGCCATTTTACTGTTTAGTAACTAAGCTGTAGCTGGTGTTATTTGCCTTAAGTTATCACCATAGGTACGTTAAAGGCTGACGACCTTAATGGCTCAGAATCGTGAGCTTCACTATCATTGTCTCAGAACCAAGAACTCATAGTACCTAGGGGAGCTTCCAGTGTTCCAGTGCTAGGACAGAGACGGAGAAGCAGCTGGTTGCAGATGCAGTGAGTTTTCATGAGCCTTCTTTCAGCCAGCCTACAGTTCTAGTAGCATTTTTATCTTCTCTGTTCAGCTTTTCTGTAGTGGAATCTCAGGGTTGAACCTTAAATCTCAGTTTTTTTCTCTACTGAGTGGTACATTCCATATCACCTACCAGATGTGAAGCACTTAGTAGGGCTGAACTGCTGTGTCAAACCATCTGGCATGACCAGATCTGTTGAAATGAGCTGTTGTCTTCATTAGCACTGAAAATTCAGTGATGGCACTGATGAGAGATTTCCTGAATGTCCTTGATACATTTTGGAGGAGCAAACTGTCTAATCCATGAAAAAAGCCAACAGGGACAAGATGAGGAAAGTACTGATCTTCTTTTCTACCAGTCTGTCATTCTTAAGACAGTCTGTGTAATGCTGTTGGTATGTATCCATTCTTAGCTCTAGGTGATTAGTATACCACTGTTGTATTGTCTTATTCTGTTATGTGATGAAAATCCTCAGCTATGGCATTTTTCTACATAGCAATATCAAATGTAGACTTTAGCATCAAACATCCAGACCATTCTTGAGAAACATGGGATGTCTGGGAGTCAGTTTCATAAGACTACTGACGTTTGCTCAAAGGAGATGAACTGGTGTCTTTGCAAACGAATCCTGTTTTCTGGGATGACCATTTTTCTTATAAACCAGTCAATAGCATCACCCACCATTCAGAAGCCATACAGGTCCTTCAGACAGAGAAAGAACAATGGAAGGAAAGTTACTTTTGCCTTTTGGGGGGTTTAAATAGCTGTTCTCCCTTTCAAGTAAGGGTGAGTGAGGAGGTAGTGATTCTTCTGCAAAGAGTCAGCAAGAGGATGCTCTTCTACAAACTATAAGGAGAACTTTTATGTCACGTATTTGTAAATACCTGAGGAGAGGTCTGTTTCAGCCCATCTCGGACATTAGAATTTTCAGCTGCTGTATATGTTTCGGAGTTTGGTTGTTAGCACTGTTAGCTTTGTTAGGTTTTTGGATGTTACTGTTATCTGTAGATTGATTGTTGCCTGTGCAGTAAAAGGGTAACCTTGTGATGAATGAACCTTTCCTACTATGGCTTGTGTAATGAGTATAGTTACATTTTATGGCAAGAGCTATTGGTCTCTTTGTTATAAACATTCCGTAGGGTCACAGCTTGTTTATGGCAGGATAGAAGATTTACAAAGCAGTTGCATGGAGCTTTAGTGAAGCTTGCTTGTTGTTGTTTTGTGGTCTTGTGCTTAGTTTGATGAATATATAAAATCCATTTCTACTCAGTATTCGGTTCTTTCCTCTCATCCCTGCAAAAGATGCTGCTTGTTAATAGCCTAATGTTCTTTCTGTGTTCATACTGCCAACATCTCTTCTTTGCTTTTTAAAATGTGTTACGAGGAAGGCACAAATAGCATAATGTTCTGTGTTTGTGTGGATGTGGATTGTTATGTAGTAGAATGAGGCCTTATGTCTGTCTGCTGTATTCACCAGCTGCTAAGGCTCTTATGGTTCAGTGGTTCAGTGTCAGTGGTACAAGGTCTGGATGGGAAAAGAGCTGTTAAGGAATAGTGACTAAGTGATTACTTTTTATTTCTATTCCAGAGATGGCTTAGAAGATCCACTGGATGATACAGCTACAGTATTCCAACAGCTGGAGCAACTGTGCACAGTGAGCAGGTGTGAATACGAAAAGACCTGTACATTTCTTGTACAGTTGTTTGACCAAAATGCACAAAACTACCAAAAACTATTGCACTCTTCTAGTAGGAATCCATTAGAAATCACAGTTCAGGAAGGTTAGTATTTAATTTAATTTTTAGACTGTATTTTATGTGCAAATAACCATATACTTGCATATGAAAAGGAGCAGTGATCTTACAGCAGATATAACAAGACCTTTTCCCAATCTAGAAATTAGTGATCTTAGTCTGTACACTGGCAGTTTTTGATGTGTTTTAACACACTGTTACATCTTCAGAGTATAGGCATGAGAGCTGTAAAAACTTTTAATTGCTGAAAATCAACATTTTAGTGCCTCAGGTGCCCTCATGGGAACCAGCTGCAACTTGATGAACATTTTTTGTAAATGAAGATGCTAACTTGCCGTCTTTTTACATTTATGTGTCTGTAAAAATTCATGTAAATTCCTTAATTTATTTTATACAGCTCTGTTATAATGAATTACCTAATTTTCAAGAAACTCAAGTTATTTATTGTAGTGTAAGCTGTAAAAATAATAAGTATTTTTTATATCTTTTTTCATATACCTATTTCAGTCCTCTCTGTGTCTCACTTAAACTGTCTTTATAACTACTGGCTCTTTCCTAATACAGTTATCTTATGGCTGTTGCATCTTTACATGGATAAATGGTGTTATTTTGAAAAGGTGAGACAGGTTACTGCATAATACAGCTGTTTCTTTGCATGCCATTAAGTATTCATGATTGATTTTGCTGTTCCTTTGTTGAGTTTGAATATGCTGATTTTCTACTATGTAGGAGCCATTTTTTCACTAATTTCTGTAAAACCTTCTACTTCTCTGTTTTATGAATACCACTTTCTTCCATGCACCTATCGACTTATTTGGGAGAACTCTCATTACTGACCTGATCTCATTGACCAGCTGCAGTCTGAATTTCTACTCCATTCCCCAGACCTGATGAGGCAGAGGGAAACAATCAGCCAGAGTCTGTCAGTGTCAGTGCTCTAGGGGATTGCCCTCGTACCTCAGAAAACATTTTATGCAGTTTAAATACTGTGTTTCTTTTCTGCAAACTAAACATTTGTGCTCATATTGAACAATAACTGTTATATCCCCTAGATATACATGGTTAAATTTAGATGTTTAATGGCTTTTAATGTTACAAAATAAGTTAATGTAATATTAAGATCTCATTTTATTATACTGTCTTGCTCTGTGTATCAATAATGATGTGGTCATGGTTTACTAAAACAATAATCCCCAAGAAATGGGTCATTAACAGTAGTTAATGATTACTTGTGATCCATGGTAATGACTGATTTCTTTGGGATTATTGCTGTTATAAACCATAATTACAGATTATTACAGCAATAATTATTTTCTAAAAGAAAAGATGTTGTCTGCTTCAGTAATTGGAAAAGCAAATGCACTGGAAATTTTAAACAGTAAAGAAAGAAGTCACACCTATGAATTGGTATTGTGCAGAGAGGAGAGGGCTATCATCAGAAAAATAAGTATGGATTAAAAAATGAGTTACTGCAATTTGTAAAAAGAAAAATAGGGAGTTTATTTTTAAAAGGGCTATTGGCCAAAGCAGTGGTTCTGCTCTTTGAACCAGCTAGCACCACACACAGTTGCTTTTTGATACCATCCTCAAGTGGCCATTCTTTAGTAGCTGTTAATGCTAAATTTATTTGAGCATCGTCTGTCCTCTTTGATGCTTCAGCTTCTTGCCATTTTGCTAATGATGGTGCAATCTCTTAGCAGCTGTTGGTACTGCAACCTGTAGTGTGTCTGATGGGGTTTTCCTTTGAAGTGTCCTGTTTGTGAAGAAGCGCAGGGAAATTGAAACAGGGAAATATGTTGATTGTTGGATAGCTGATACTGGCCTTCCACATTATTAGGACTGGAACAAGAACAACAGATATTTAGTTTTCCTCATATGTTGTGTCACGTGTCAAAAATCAATGCTTGTTCTCTGTTAGAGATCTCAGACTATTACATACTCATGTGGTATATTTAAAAACTAAGACTGAGATTTAAGATAAACCTGAATGCTTTCCTGCACTTGTGTTGAAATCATCTGCATGTTATTCCATACTCTGCATTATCTTTTTGTGTACATTTGATCTCAGCATCTTTTTTTATGCATAGAACACCCTGTGCTATATACCTCTGACTGAAATAGAATTGCTTATGATATATAGTCACCAGATTCAGACCATGAGGATACTGGAACACCTCAGAACTCCTTGAAGGAGCTTAGGAAGTAAAGTATTCAGTGCTCTCTGAGTTCCATGTTGTCCTAAAATACAACATTGCAAGTATGAGGAAATGAAGTTTAATGTTACATAAATGAAGGCTAGTTTATCAGATTTTAAATAAACATGAAATAAAACCTCAAGACTTCTGGTAGATACTGTGCATGTCCTGATATGTATGTAGAAATACCCACAATAAAATAACTGATTTACAGTCATAACATGACCTCATTTGTTTATCTGTAGTTTATCCTTTATGTTAAATTTCAGAATGAGTTCAGAAGACAATTTGTTCATCAGGGTATTGTCTTCACTCTTGTGAGTTATCCTGTCATCACTTGGAAGAATCCTAGTAATGAGGGCAAGACTCACTTATGGAGTAGCCAAGTTGTCTTTGCTGCATTGCTATTTTCAACCAGTTTATTTCCATTTATTACAAAGTATATTTTGCTAAATGAAGATTGAGTCTAAAAGTAGCTTTACTGTGGTATAGTCTCAATGCATTTCAGTTGAGGAAGGAACCTTTAGTGGTATCCTGAAGTTTTAACAGGTCTGTGTGTTACTTTGCTATTCAGTTCTTTGTTTTGATCATACTTTAGGGAAAAATACTGCATCTTTCCTTGGAGAGAATACCATTAGTTACTGGATTTACAGCTTAAAAAGCTGAGGCAGGAATTGGCATGGCTTGAGTTGGGTATTAGTAGGTCAAATTTAAAGATATTCCACCTTAATGTGCCAGAGAGGCTAAAACAATGCCAGTTTTGCAGTGTGGCAGTTATTTTCCAGCAGAGAGGCCAAAAGAATTTGTCTGAGTTCAGTGTTTGTGAGTTCCGTATTTATAAAGCCAGATGTCAGAATTTGAAAGCCTACCAAAACACACCACGTACACAAACTCAGAGTTATTTGTAGAACCTTAGCTTTACAGAAATTAAGATCTTTATGTTGTATTTTAATTGATTCTTGACCCATGGATCGTGTAAGTGCCATTGTGGAAACTGATAGCTAAGTCATCTGGAAAACGGAAGGCATGACAGCATGGATTGAAAGGGGTGAGCTCTGTCTTTCAAACCCTTTTAAAAACAATCCAAAGAGACTTTCAAAACATTGTGGTCATTCACAAACTCTCTTCTTGAAGAGTATAGCTGAGTTACAATTACTTTCTTATGTGCAGATCACTTTCAGATAATAGTTTAATATTCCCAAGTGTTCTTTATTTGAAATAAAACTAAGAACCAAGTAGATTGGAGTGAGTCTCAATTGCTTTCTAATACTATGATAAGGAGATGAAACAGCCTCACTGTGAATAAATTGTTCTATGCCTTGAAGTAACCTGTGGCAGGCAGGTGAAGATGGTAGATTAATTGTATGTCTAATCTTACCAGCTGAGTTTGCTTAATTTGTATTAGGTTAATTCTTTGTGGTTTATTTATAAGTGTGTCCAGATTAATAGGCTGTTCTACTTTATCTGCCAGCTCTGCTCAGAATTTTTTGTTAGTTGATTTGTCTGGGTAGGTTTTAACTCTGGTAAAGGAAGAAACCTAACCATTCTCTTGACAGCATCCCGCAGTCTGATACCATATAGAACTGCTGGTTCCTCATGGAAGCGTATTCTACTATTGTACTATTTATAATTCTACTATTTACTATTTATAATCACTGTTTCTCTTTCTTTTAATGTTAGGATGTCTGGCATGGCTTGTCTATTTTGTGGGTGCTTTTGTGGGTGGCCGATTAACATACACTAGTACTGAGGAGCATGATGCTATGGATGGAGAGCTGTCCTGTCGGTAAGTGTGGCTTGATTTGAATTCTTTATTTTGCTCTTTTTTAACAGTGTTTAATATCAGCAAGTATTTTGAATTTAAGTGTTTCAATTTTTTGTCCAGTTCTTGGATGGTGGGTGCTAAAGGGCTATACTGACTTTCTGTGGTTTGAGACCAGTCCACTGGCTTTGACCCCTCCTGATTCATCATCCTAAGCAGTGAAGAGTCAGTAATACAATCATTTCAAAACTATGTTTCAGAGGAAGGGAAGAGGATTAAAGGCAAATATGTCTCTTATTATAAACAATATTTAGATATGCCCGTGTAGATACCTGTTTTCCTCTGTGTTATACTTGTATACAAGTGTTAATTTTGTTAGTTGTGAGTTATGGCTATTATTTTCTGCACTACTTCATTTACATTAATTATTGTGGGTGAAGAATTGCAGAGGAACTGCTGGTCAAACGCCGAAAATTTACACTTCTTTTTAGACTAGAACTTGTTAAAAAAAGAAGGCTTAAAAATGTTCACGCTAAAGTTGTCCTTTTGCAAGTTTTAGGGCATGGGGTGAGCTAGGGATTGTTGAGAAGGATACCTGTGTCTTGTGGCAAACTCAAATTAAGTGGCAAACACTTCCTAAATCCTTGTTTTCACCCACAAGTGTGATAAAAAAGGTGTGCACATTCGGTCCTCGTATTTACATTCACTAGCTAACACATGAAAAAGGGCATACAATTTAGAATTGGATAAAAAGCTTTACATTTTCTCCTTTGTGTCTTGCCTTCGTAATCTACCCTGGGGCTCTGTTGTGTTAGCTGTCTTCCACTATGTTTTTATTAAAAGTGAGAGGTTTTAATATACAGGCTTACAGATGAAGTAGCTACTGACTTCTAATCCAGTGACTGTGCATTTCAGAATCGGGAAAAGGTGAGAGTAAGTTCTTGAATTGCTAGGAAATTAGGATTTCAGGGAATAGGTAGCAGAAGAACATGGGAGATTAAATAAAAAAATATTCCATTATTAAAAAAACAGGTACTACATTTTGTTCTTAGCTGCTGTAGTCTGAAATTCATTCTTGGAAATATGCGTATGAAGTAAGGATTTAGGTCAGAAAATGCATGTTCAGATGTGTTAAGAGAGAGAAAAGTGGGAAGAGGTGATGCAGACAGTGCATTATGCATATGTAAATTTATTTCCAAGTACAGTTTCCAAGGAACTTGAACAGCTCTTACCCTGCATTTACAGTTTGAGACCTGTGCTGCTTCAGTTTGTTTCTTTCACCATGGAATTGATGCTCTAAGAAAGAAAAAGCAGTTGACAAACTCACTGTGTTATAACATACGTATCTGAGAAAATTTCCAGTGACAGAGTAATTAGAAAAGCATTATGTTGATGTTTATGTTTCATAGTGGTCATTTAGCATAATTAGCATCTAACTAAACAAAATCCTAGAAGAAACTTAGGCAAACAAAAAATGCTTGATAGGTTCCTAAAGAAATCAGCTGAGACAATATAATATGATATAATTTAAGAATTCTTCCTGAAAATTGTGGGGTTTTTTGTCTTTTTTTTTTTTTTTGCTGTCACAAAGAGTTTTTCAGCTGATATCTTTGATGGATGCCCAGTTACCACAGTCCAGTAATGAAAAAGTAGAACTAGCAGTTCTGTGGTTCTTGGATCAGTTCCGTAAAACATATGTGGGAGACCAGCTTCAGCACAACTCAAAGGTAAGAGTTTGCTGTAAACCACTGCCTTTGAAATCAGGAAGCCTGTGCAGAAATTCACCTGCCAATGCATCTTACACATAAAGGCTTCTGAGCTTATCTGTTGGCTGATTTGCTAGATGGAGAGAGAGAGGAATAGGTAACTTATTAATGTTTTGCTTATCTGAAAATAACTTATTCATGGGTTGTTCATCAGCTTCTGACCATATATGCATTTGAGTTTGGTGTGCAAGGAGTTAATATTTTAACAGCTATGTTCATTAAACCGTTTTAGGTTACTTTGCATTTCAGTTTTTTTATTTCAAACATTTAGCTGGGTTCTGCTATATTGTGTTATATTTCACAGCTGGGTACTCAAGATTTATTCTTTTAATAGTTCTCTTCTTTTGACAGTTACTCATTTATGTGGTTTCCACTGTATTTCTCACATTACTTGGCTTTTCTGCATTTTAAATAGGGAAGAGGGAAAAGTAAAATGCATTTTTGAAGAAGCAGCTCTTAATTCACCTTAACTGTAGGGGACAGTCATAATATAGATGTTATAAAGAGAATGTCAGTAAGATGAGATCAATTGATCTTGAGAAAGACTGAAAGAATTCTGTTGGAGCCCCAAGCAAATCTTCAGCAAGAATTGTGACAGTGACTGAGATTTGGTTTTACTTGTGTAGTACTCTATCCTTGCTTTCTGGTGAACAGTCCAAATCTCAAGAATTCTTTTATCCCTTCAGGTTTGAACTGTACTTCAACTTTATTGAATTGTTCCTCACTTAATATTAAAGTTTTACACTGTATGGAATTACTTTTTCATGAAAGCAATGTGTTCCTTTCAATTGTCAAAGCTGATTTTTTATTTTTAAATATGGGGCACTGCTCTTAACGCTAAGTAACACAAAGTACACAGTAAAAACATACTCATGGTCCTGGTATTTCTGCTAGCAAAATTCCTGCTGATGGCAATTCATAGGCAACATGGCTGTAGAGTAGTTGTTATTCTGATCTCTGATTCTTGGCTTATGTTTTATTTTGATCTGATTTTGAGGGGTTTGATTTCACTTTGTATTCTGACTAATTGATGTAACTGTGGAGAACCACTATCAATGTAGTATGCCGTACAGATTTTCATAGGAGATTGTATACCCAAGCTTTTGATGTCCATCCTTACAGACGGCTGGAAGAAGCACTTGCGTGTGGGTGAAGCAGCGGGCAGGAAACTGAAGTGCAGTATTTATACTTAAATCCCTTGGAGCTCCGTTGTCAGTAAAAATGAATGTGAAACTTGACCATTTGCCAGCTACATCAGAGTTTATCCAGCTCAGCTGTGTGTTCTGAGTGACTGTCATGCTTTAAACCCAGCTAGTAGCTGAGCCCCACACAGTCACTTGCTCACCCCTCTAGTGGGATGGGGGAGACAATTGGAAAGGTAAAAGTGAGAAGGCTTTGTGGGTTGAGATAAAAGCAGTTTAACAGGTAAAGCAAAAGCCATGTGCACAACAAAGCAAAGCAAGGAATTCATTCACCACTTCCCATAGTCCGGCAGGGTTTCAGCCATGCCCAGGACAGCAGGGCTCCAGCACACCTAGCAGTGACTTGGGAAGACAAACACCGTCACTCCCAATGTCCCCCCTTTTGTCCTTCTTCCCCCCTAGTTTATCTGCTGAGCATGATGCCATATGGCATGGTATATCCCTGATCCCAGGGGTCAGTTGGGGTCAGCTGTCCTGACTGTGTCCCCTCCCAACAACTTGTGCACCCTGAGCCTCCTCACTGGTGGGGTGAGGAACAGAAAAGGCCTTGACACTGTGTAAGCTGCTCAGCAGTAGCAAACACATCCCTGTGTGATCAACACACAAATCCAAACACAGCCCCATACTAGTTACTGTGAAGAAATTTACTCCAACCTTAAACCAGCACAATAACCCTCGGACTGCCTGTGCAATTGCATTGTGTGGGGCAGGTTAAATGGTTAATTATTGAGTAAAATGCTAATATTTCCATTTGAATTACTGAAGAGCACTTTGAACAGAAAGGATTAACTCTCACTGAAAGGACATGGGGAAAAACTGTGGATGAATTGCAGAAAACGGTTTTGTGTTGCTTAGTTTCATTGTTCTGGTTTTTCTCCCTGCCCTGGTAGGTAGGCAGGCATGGATCAAGCTAGTAATATATCATCATAGAATCCCAGACTAATTTGGGTTGGAAGGGACCTTAAAGCTCACCCAGTTCCAAACCCCTGCCATGGGCAGGGACACCTTCCACTAGGGCAGGTTGCTCCAAGCCCCATCCAACCTGGCCTCGAACACTTCAGAATCATATTCTGTATATTTACTGCCTCTGCTTGTCTTGTATGTGTCTTATATGTAACCAGACTGGGAAAGTGGAAATTTTGCAAGGCTGTCATGGTGTTCAAGGGGCGTTTCTAAATTCTAGCCCCAGTCTGGCAACTCCGAAGTTCATTGCAAATACATTTTCAAGCTGTGTTTTCTTTGTTGTTTTTTTTTAATGGCTTGATTACATTATCTACCCCTATAATTTACTTTCTTTTTCATTTTGTTCTAGTAGGCCTGGTACAACAGCCTCTTATTTGCATTGACAGAATCCCGTGGTCAGTATGACATTATTTCACCAGATCTCATTACAAGAGCTGTGTGTAAATGCATCGGAGCTCCCAGTTTTGGTGTGTTTGTTTGGGTTTTTTAATTTTTAATAAAACCAAATGAGATGTTTGTATACAGTTTACACTTAAGAGGAAGGCAGAAGGCAGCCCTTGTATGATTCCTCTGGTTTATCCTGCTGTAGCAGCAAGCATAGCAGCAGATGGCATTCTACCCTCACAGTTGTAAATCCTGTGATACTGTGTCTCGCTGGCAGCTATCTACAAATGTGCAATAAAAAGGCTCACACTTGGAAGCAGAAAAATCAGACATATATCAAATGACTCAGTTAATGCACGTTTATATAAACATTCAGGATTGCTTGAATTGTTTTATTTACAGAACAGATAATGGAAATTCTGCATGCTTCAGCCATAGAGAGGTAATTTTCAAGAGTATTTCTCTATCTGATCATACGCTTGCATACAGAAAAACAAACAATGGTTAGAGAAGACCAAAGAGTCTAATGAAATTATAGAACAAGTCTTCTATATAAATATACACATTTTTTTCATTAATTAACTCGTAATCTTCAGGATAAGAAAAGGAAACTCATTATAGAAAAAGAAAATTGGGTACGTAAATTAATGCATTCTTATTAAACTGTCCACTGGGGCTTGCTGTCTAAGGAAGAAAAGCAAAACCTTGAAGATCTGTTCCATGACACTCTAATATAGTTTTAGTACCATTAAATTACCAATACAAAAATAACACATTAACCATCTGTCATTTGGATCAGGTAGAGTTCTGAATTAATACATATATATGTTGAATGCCAGACTGGATTCTCTGGTACTGTACAGCACTATTAATATCTTTCTATTAATACATGTTTTAATGCTGATGTGACTTAGCTTTCACATACTCATCTTTTTGTGGCATATTGTGATTTGATCCTGGCAGGGTGGTAGAAAATAAGTTGGCTGGAAAAGCACTGCATGTGCTTTACTGGAACTGTAATCGCAGCTTCTATCTGTTCTAGCTCTGGCATTCCTGTAGCATGCCACTGTTAGCTGTTGCTGTAGTAGTGTAATACTGCATTGAAATCTGATTCCTGACATCAAACATGTTATTTATTAGACAAAACATTTCAGTTTTGAATGAGGCTTTTCCTTTGAAATATTTTGATGTATCAACAGCTATAGAATTATTTCTGTTTGCAAGTGACAGTAGTCTGGGAGGAAACAATCACAAAGGACAGGATTTGAATTCTGAAAGATCTTCATAAGCTGGAGGCATAACCTGAAAGTTTAAAATGCTGGTGAAACACCATGCTTAGGAATGAAAATTTCCACTTAAAACTGGGAAGTCTCTGCCGAGGCAGTGTTATTTCAGAAGATGCTGTGGAGTGTATCAGGATAACTCTAACAGCGTGCGTTGGATTTGTGCACAAGAAAAATACAACATCTTTGTGACTGAAGTAGCAGGAATATTGTGTCAGGTGCTGGGATTTCTTGTTCAGCTCCAAATATTTGTCCCTGATGGGGCTTCAGCTGGAATAATGTGTTCAAGTTTGGACACCAAGCTTTTGAGCAAACCATAGGCAAGGGTGAGGCTACACCACCACAAATAAAATGCTGAAGATAACCCTTTGGTTTAGTTTAGGAAATAGAATATTGGGGGGAAACAAAAATTAAGGATGTCAAGCGTAAGTTTGGAAAAACTGGTGAGCAAATGTTTTCAGTGCTCTTCAAGGGAAAGACAGGATGTAATTGGCTTAATTTGTAGCAAGGAAGACTTGCGGAAAGCTTTCTAACTAGGCCAGTAACAGTACTGGTGGGTACAACCCATGATGCTGTGGGGGCTCTTGGATATGCCCATATGCCCAGGTAGACTTAATTAATTCCCCCATAAAGTACAGAATAAACCAGATTCCTGCTGTCTAATCTCACGTTTCATCGTAAGACTGTTATAATTGATCAAGGTTGTTCGCTATGTTTTAGCCAGTGAAGGGTGTGCTTGGGGAGCAGTGAGCCCTCCTGGTTCTATTGTGACCATCAACCACAATAAGAAATTTTTCTGTTATTTCAGGATTTTATTTTAGCCTGGTATGTTTCAAGTAACTCATTACAGCCATTTTAAAAGGAGTAAGTATATGAGTACTAAGAGTGACAGGAATTACAGAATCTTTGAACACAGAGGAGACTGACTCCTTTTCCAGCTCAGAGCATGAGTTCACTCCTCATTTATCTGTGCTTAGAAAGGTCTCTTCTTAACTACCCAGCCACCAGTAGAACTTTCATGGGATAGTCTGCGGTTTAGAGAGACCAATAGTATCTCTGCTAAGTTGTGTAACTTCCCATGGCAAGTGCAGAAATTAAGTTGGGGGTGCTGAGAATGCGGTTTAGCTGC